CCTTGTCGGTCCTTTAAGGCCGACACACCCATCAGATCGTATGGAGCCTGTGCCGAGACATGTGGTCATTGATGCCCAGTTGATTTTAATAGTAAGAAGAAGAAGCATTGGCGATGTTAGTTGGGAACACCCGGCCAGACCTGTCCATACAAATGATATCCATGAAAGGGTCCTCAACTCAGAAATCATACCTGCGTCATGCCGATCTAATCAGCTGACAAGATAATCTCCTCGCCAGGGTCTGCTCAAAACAGCCACGCATTGCTCTTGGACACGTTGTTTTTTGTGGGAAAAGTTCTTTGGACGGACTATTCGCTGTCAAAGCTCTTACCACTTGGAGGGCCACAGTGGTTATGTTGTTTTTGGATTTTTGAACATCTCCGCGAGGCTTCGGAGGTGCTACTAGACTGCGAAGGCAGTCCCATTGTCCGGCCCGGAGCTTAAAGCCAGATCGACATGTCTCTTTTCCATGTGAAACGCCCGGGACTTGCCATGTCCCCCACACAAACCATAGGGAGTGCAGTTTCCCAACAAAACCAGGGGCACTCTCCGGTCACACCGTGTTTTCACTGGCGTATGTGTCAAAGATGCTTTGTGCCAACTCGCCGTTCTTGAGCTGATTCATTAGTGCAGTTCCCCCTAGACTTCCCCGGGGGTGCCCGTTCAGGCGAGTAACGTGGGGTCATGGCAAAGGAGCCCAAGAACCCTGTTTTTTGGGGGCCAAAATTCCGGCTATGCATGCACCAAAGCCAGGCGTCCCAGCTACGATCAGTAGCCATGAAACTTTCCAGCTTCAGTGTTCAAATCATTGTTATTGTGGTGGATCTTTACCCGTAGTTTGGGGTGGGCTGTTTCCTGCAGTTTCTGGTATCTTTACGGGGTGGATCTTTGCCTCGGGGTGGAGTTGTACCTGTAGCTTTTGGAGTGGATCTTTACCTGTGGTTCTTGGGGCGGATTGTTTTGCCCTGTAGTTGTTGGGCTGGATGTTTACCTGTATTTTTGAGGGATCTGTACCTGTAGTTATTGGGGTGGACCTTTACCTGGGCTGGTCTTTACCTGTAGCTATTGGGGTGGTGTTTTGCCTGTAGTTTGTTTAGGTGAATTTTTTGCCTGTAGTTGTTGAGGTGGATGTTTACCTGTGGGTCTCTAGTGGAATTTTGCCTGTAGTTTGTGGCATGACCTTCTGCCTGTCCTTGGCCTTGGTTACTTCTCGGGGTAACTGGTGGGAGACTTTCGTGGTTGAGTCTCAGCTCTGCGAGGCTCAAGAAGATCCAGAGAAAGGGCTCACGGGTGGTGGATGAGGACGTTTCGCGTTTTCCGTGGGAATGAATCGGGATACGGTGGATGGTTTACCATGAAGTGGTTCAGCATGGTTCTTGCTTGCAATAGTTTCGGCTCCACTGTAGGCCCCAGGAGGGCGTGACTTATTCGAGCTCGGGGGACCGCGGCCTCCGAACACATAGTAGTTGCGGTTCCTTGTATGTTCCCTTTTGGTGAAGCGAGGCCACTACGTATAATCCACAAGTGGTTTGCCAAGCCAGCGCTTCACACTTTACGACATGTCTCAGATTTGAACATTCAAATTGTCAAACAGCAGGGCCATATGCGGGGATCGAGAGCGATTGGTCAGAACGCAGATGAGATGAAAAACATGCCCCTTCCTCCACTCCTAGCATAGCGCCTGTGGGAGGGTACCTTCCTTTGGAAGGGCTCCTTGACCTGACCTTGCCAAGGATGACGCTCAAACCATCATGCATCCACACTCCATGAGTTTGGTACAATGGAAGTTAGGGCTCCAGAAGTCTGAAGTGGAAGCGTGGCGAACGTGCGGAATTCAGATACAGGACTATCAAGCCTTAGCTCAAGGCTGGCCAGACTTTGCTTGAAGAACTTTGGGGAGGCTAGGCTTTGATCCACGCGCCGGCTCAGGAGGGAAACGATATCCTCGCATCGGCCCCGGGCAACCTTCCAAACAACTTGGAATGGTGGAGCACTCAGAGTTTCTTGTGTTTGTGACATGATTGATCGCTCACAGGCGCTTGTCAAACGCCCAGCTGTGGAGCGCATGCTGCCCTTGCCCAGGATTGCGCAGGAAAGCCCTACGAGCGTCTCAGACTGGTGGGAGGCAGGGTGAGCGGCACCCAACGCTGAAGAAGACTGGGAACCGCTACGCAATACGTTGGGAACTTTCTCTCTCTCTCTCTCTATCTCTATAACAGCAAAGCTTCTTTAGGGGCGGCGACTCTTTTTGACTCTCATGTCCAGAATGAGCTTCCCACACGTGGGCATGTTTGTTTTTGAGGAAACTTCCTTTTTGGGTTGAGTCTGTTTTTGAAGCCCAAGAAAAGCACCTGTTTGGAGAGTTTTATGTTGACACATACCCATACTGTGGATGGACGAAATCCTGACCTAAGAAACCCTGGAATGATTCGATTCCCACGTGAAATACCAACAAACGTTAAGTTATGGTTTCAACCACGGCCATATTTCGTGGCGCGAAATGGATGTTGTCCCTCCCCAGTATGTGGTAGGTGTCCAGAATGTTCAAGCTCTCAACACAAGTGCTTTCCCAGAATGTGTTTTTTTCTTTCTTTTTCTTTTTTTTTTCTCCGGGGGTTTCCTTTGGTTCTTTGGGGCTTTCCATTGGTTTTTAGGGGTTCCCGGCATGGACGTTCAATTTTCCTCTTCTCGTTTTTGGCCGCCAGGGGCACTCGCCCCTGAACTTGGGCGCCTCTCTGTTCCGCTGGGCCTTCCCGGACTGCGAGGTGTGCCGAGCGCCGGGAGGCGAGAGTTGGATCGGATGTCAGCGTCGAGGTCGAAGTCAAGTCGAGGTCGAATTACTCGTTTTTGAGGGTTTCTTTCTGTGTGGAGACAACCCGCATATGTTTGGTAGGGTACTATTGTATTATTGGTTTGGGAGCACTTGGCCCCGCCCGCATTTACCACAATGAATCTTGTTCATGCCCTCTTGGGCAAACAGCCAAGGGATCCAAAAGCAAAGGCTCGATGTCAGTCCCCTTTTGCAAGCGGCCCTCAGAGCGGCAAATTGGAGTCGGGGTCAGTCCTATGTGGACCTCCGCTGTGGCTCTCCGCCCATTCTTTTCCACACGCACACACACACACGGTTTTTGGGTGCTCTGCACCTGGCTTTTCGCTTGTTTCGTCGTGGCTTCTTTTTGGTCAGAAGGTTTGCGGGCTGGTTGCCGATGGCTCGCGCGACTATATTTCTCTGGGCCAAGGCGCGATGTGCATCCTTGCAGTCGGAGACCGGAGTTGGAATGGGATCCCTTCAATAGGGTGAAATACGTGGGCAATCAAAACTTGGGTAGAGGGAGAAGGGACAGTCTTAGCCAGAAGTAGGTTCGGATATGCGGCCTTTAGGTAGGTACCAGGTTTTGATCTTGACTATACCATGGGCTTCCTGTTTGGTTCTCTCCTGGGGATCGATCGGCTGGCCCTTCAGGTGTCCACCATGAGCCCTCGGGGTGAGGTGTGAGGCTTCGCCGGGAATACCCCGAATACCGCAGGCGTAGCCGCGAGGCGGGAGTGGACATGCCCGGGGATAGCAAGGGCAGTTGGGACCGAGGCACCTGTCTATAGCTATGGTTCCAGACGACAAACCCCGCTCCGCGGCTGCGCGGGGTTCCGAAGGCGATTTTGGGTCAGGGGCCGTGGCACAGACGTCCAGCAAATCGTTTCTACTGGCTGCGTGTGAGGCTGGCCCTAGATTTAAGATTTGTGAGCGTCTGACAGGTCTATGCGTTCAATTTGAGCAACTGACAAACTTACTGGCAGTCCTCTGTCTAATTTCCGACCAAAACAGAGGGACAACCCAAGATTGCCATGTCCGCTTGTTGAAACAAGAAACTTTGTCCAGGACTGTGAGGTCGAACAGGGGGACGCTCTCTGTCTCTCTCTCTCTCTCTCTTTCTCTACAGGCAAAACTGATTTGGACCGTGGGAGCGCGGGCAAATCGAACCTTGGAATCTGGGAGCCACCATGCCATGCGGCCAGTGACTGTAGCTCTCTTTGGGGCCAATGGCTGAGGGGCCTGGGCAATTTGAATTGGCTCATGAGGCCGCGGCAGGCCCACGAGACCCTTTTGCATTTTTTTCATGGCGGTATCAAGGATGGTCATAGATCCTTTCTTGGGAAGTTCAGACAACCATGAGAAGAATTCCTGTCATCGTGTACGATGACCATGACCCAGATACGGAGTTTTTGACGATGGATTTGGCGGTCAAATGTGCCATGGGTTGGAGGAACCAGCCCAGACACCTCGCAGCAATTGCCCCCGGCCGTTGCATCGAATTCGGCACAGCTGCCTTTGAAGCAGCGGTCAGCTGTTCAGCTCTCTGAGCTGCGCAAATGCCCTGGGAGTTGCAGGGCAGGTTTGCTGTCTAGGGAGTTTCAGGATGGGTTCACTAAAGTGACAGCCAAGTTTGATATTTCAAAACCGGGACACAGACGCAGAGACACCCAACATCAAGTTAAGCCGGAGCTTTGCGGCTGAAGGATTCCATCGCATTGCATGGCTGAGGTGACTTAGTCACTTGCATTCCAAGAAAGATTCGGCGAATGATTTTGGGACATTTGATTTGTAAGAACTAGGGCCTTTGGGGGTCCAAGAAATGGGTTTGTACAAAGTTTTGATAGCTCTCCATGTGTTGAACAAGCAGAGCATTACTTTGCGCCGCCACTTGTCCAGCTTGAAAAGCATGAGCTTCATCGCTGCGACATTGCCCCTGCCTGCAACGCCCGTCTTGATCGTTCCCTTCCCCAAGGAACTCGGGACAAGGTTCGCGGTTAGCACGTTAATGCGTTGCACTTACGCTGCCGCCCCCGTTGTGCTAAAAAGATGGGCGCTCGAATGCTGCTGGGGCGGCTTGTTGAAGGTGGGTGGCGCAGGTGTGGCATACCGTTGTTTTTAGTTGGGCACGCAAAGCAGCATGGATGTCTTTGAGGCTATCCTGTGCTGGTGTTTCCGAGCTCGAGTCGAGGTACCCTCCACGGAGTGGGGTATGTTCTGGAACAGCCCCGAGCTGGTGCTACCAGAGGCGGACCCGGAACTCTGCGCCCAAAGGGCCTGGAGATTTCTTTCGTCGCTATTTTTGGGCAGTGACAAATGGTGTGTACGTCTGTTTTCAGGGTGCTAGCAATCAGGTATCCCCTAGTTGGCGGTTTGGAGTGGTGGTTCGGGGATTTGAACCCCTGGTTCTCGTAGAGGGGGCAGCTGAAATAAACGCTTTGTGCACCCAGGCCCCAAGATACACCGATACACCTGGACAGGGCAATATAAAGGGTTGCATATTTACAACCACCATTCTCCCATAATCATGCGGCTTCTAATGGGTGCCAGCTTGCGGCAGAGGACAACCACGTGTGGCATCCAATGGAACCCTTTCGCAGCTGGTGGTTGGAAAGCCGTTAGGGAGTTGGGGTATCCAAAATTGACATTTGAAGAGGGCGCCTTCCGGAGCTGCCGGGAGTTCTGTAAGGATATGGTAGACTAGAAGGGAACCTCCTGGGTTCAGTTCCCCGCAGAAGAAACGAGCGGGCAGGTCCGCGAGCGCAGGGGAGCCCAATCTGGAAGCTTGCAAGCGAAAACCCCCAAAGGGAGAAGTTAAGCACCCCCTGGGTTTAAGTCTTCGTTTGTTGTTGAAAGGTACCCTTTTCAGTTGGGTTTTAAGGGAAGCCATATGTTTAGATTCATGCTGGTTCTCTTTTTGGACCGACCAAAATCACCTTTGTCGCTTTTTTCAGTATGACGAAGGTTGGCCTATTAACCTAGTCAAGAAGTTCCACTGCTTGCAGGGTGGTCAAAGACCAACCCAGTCAAAGGCAGGCAGTTGACACCACGCAACAGCCAGCCGTGTGAGTTTTTGCACCTAGGACACTGGTCGGAGTTTTTCGGATCCACTCATGTGGAAAGGGGATCCACTCAGGTCGGCGCTACCCGGGCATGGTGTCAGCCAGCCTCTTCGAGGTGGGGACTCGAGCCAAGATAATTTGTGGGGCTGAGAATGTGCAGATGGGCGTGTGTTGCTTGGAGTTGGCACTCTTTTCAGGTCGGTTCAAAGAGAAACCAAAGGAACGACAACTATTTGCTGGGTCCCCTTCCCAGATGTGAGGATGCTTTGATGAGCCACCAGCAAAGCCTGAGCAAGTGAAGGCTTATACGTAACAGTCTCAGACATATCTCTGATGTGTATACAGCGTGTGGGCTGTGCAGGACAGACAAAGAGTCTGTGTGGATTTACATCCAGCCTCATGGTGAGAGTGTCCTTCACGGCGAGAGCGTTTGTCAAGTCAACACAGCAAACCCGTACATTTATCGAAAGCTCGAATGCACAGGAAGCGGGGATCAGCCTCCAGATTAGTGCTAGTCGCTGGCATTTGGGCCGCGATCCTATTTCTGAATGGCCCATTTTCAGGTATGACTGTTCGGGCACCAAGACTTGGATTTGTCTCATGTTTTTTTTTTTTTGTGATTTCTCTTTGAAACCAACCAAAAGCCCCCCCCCCCCCCCCCCCCCCCCCGTGGCAAAAAACAGCTACACACACATTGGGTGAATCCATCCCACCAATTTTTGATGGCCCGATTTCGTCAGGTTTACTGCCCGGACCCCCTGGACTTGCTCAGCGCCTTGCCCTCAGCGAAATGGACAGACTAGCTGGGGGTATCCAAAATTGCCTTTAAAGAGGGAGCTCAGGAGCTACTGGGAGTTCTGTACTCACATGGTAGCAGGGCTACTCACTAGATGTCCCGTTAGAGTTCGCAGTCGTACCCCTTCGATTCCTGTAAAGGGAAGCAGCCAATATATGGCGAGGAGTTTCATGGTTGGAATACCCGCAATTGTGGTAGGCGGACCTGCATACCCCATGAAAAGGATGTCTACCAAAGGGTCTTGAACTAAGATTAACACCTAGGGTGGTTTCCATCTTCTTTGGAGTTGGCACCCCTTTGCATGTTCCTTTAAGAAAGCAATGGGCAATCATCCAGTTTTTTGGGTTCTCAGTTGGAGAACGCCAATCCCTTGGCTTTCTCCAAGAGGGCCACATGAAAGGAACCTCACGCGGGCATGGGGCATTCAGGGAAAAGGGCAGGGGTTTGGACTGTGAGTTGCGGACTTTTACGGGGAATCCATAGGTATAGGTGGGCTGGACATGGTCAAGAAACACCTTGCAAAACCGGAGGGGGCGGGGGTTGGCTAGCTTGTAGATTTTGTCATCTGGCTTTCGATGCGCATGTCTGCGCTGCTCAAATATAGCACAGCGGCAAGAAAGTCGCGTGAGACACCACCAAAAATAGTTTTTAAGCTAACAGCCCAATGCAACGAGCCGCGCACAACCACAAGTCGCTGCTTCGCCCACCAGGGCTGGAGCTTCCTGCTGTCCACCAGCGACACCCGCAAGCGCTTGCGCACCGTGTCCATCCTGAAGGCCGGCCTTTGGGCCTTTGGGTCACCAGGGCTTTGCCTCTGGATTACCCAACCGAAGCTGTCAGGGGTTCAATGGGGAAATATCACCGCGCTATTGATATGCGAAGGGTAAATGCCACATTATCCCTACCATAGAACCCCGAAACCACCATTTGCAGAGGACCCTCTCGTTTCGGTTCCGCGTGAATTTGCGGAGAGTAGGTTGCCGGTGGATACCCTCGCAGCTGCCCTACTACCCTTTTTTGAACACAACTTGCCTTCCGGAAAGGGGTTCTGGGTTCTGTGAACTTTCATATCCTGGGAGGGAGGGTCTTTTTTTTTTGGGGGGGGGAACGTCTGTTTGGTGGTTTGAAGGGCAACGTACCAGGTTTGAGGGTGCCCTATTCTGAGAATAACAATGGAGTCCCTTTCTTTGAAACGTGGCAACGAAGTCATGGGGATTGGAACAAAGCCACGTTGGTATCACAGAAACCTTCTTTGCACAATCGTCGGGCATTGGCAGTTGCTGCCGATTCAGCCGGGACTTTCTTCGTTCATTGGGGACGATGGGTGTGTCTGTTTTTCAGGGAAGCCCAGGGCAACCTAAAGGAATCATTCGGGGTTCTCTGATTTGGGTGTCTGTTTTATTGAAGGTACCCTTTCACGTTGGTTTGAAGGGAAACCAACAGGAACTTGTTTGAGCCTAACTTTCCTAAATAGGTGTGTCAAGCCATGGTTTCGACACCCCCAAATCGGTGGGATTCCCCAATGTAATGGCTTGCCTAACCCACGCCAAAACGGGCAACTCCGAAAAACGAGCCAAGAGCTGGCGCAGGGCACGCAGCGCCTGACGCACTGCTCCAGAGATGTGGCGCCGGCACAACATTGAGAGCCATGTGACTGGCGAAAGGGGCCGTGTCTTTGGTCATGGTTTCTCTACCTGGCAAACTGATGGTTTTTTCCTCTGTGTCATTCTTATGTGTGTGTATGTGTAAGTTGTTTTTTCTGTTTTTTTTGTTTGTTTTCTTTTTTTTTTGGGGGGGGGGGCGGCTTTCTTTGGGGGTTGTTCCAGGGAAAAAGGAAAGCCACGCTTGTAATTTGAGATTCCAATTGGGCACATCCTCACGCGTTAGGAAAGGGCACCATTTGCCCCAGAAAAGTGGGCGCCTAAGCAGCTTTCTGAATCCCTGGCCCTGGCTCCTCTCTCGTGGCCTTCGAATATTTGCGACTTGAGGGACTTGCAGTTCCCATCTTTGGGCGTCGGCAGGGCACTGCCGGCTTCGTGAATTCCAGGGATGTGCCCCAGCCCCAGCTGTGAGCGGAAAAATCCCAAACCCACCCAACAAACTGACGTAAGGAATTCAGGCCCCTTTCTCCGCTTTTCAGCAGTCATACGGACGATCCTTTTTGGGGCTTCCTAAAAAGAACGTAGTCTCAACCTGGCAGCTTCGATTGGATCAGGTTGCCCAGGGCTCAAACTGTGCACAAGACGTGGTCTAGAAGCGAAAACGGCGCCGGCCAACCCAACCCAAACTATGGTCTCTTCCGCCATAGTTCCCCAATTTTGACACGCCTTTCAAAACGGGTGCCTGTTTTGTTTTTTGCTTTTTTTTTGGGGGGGGAGGGTGCTGTTCCTCCCCCCTTTAAACCGGGCTGAAAAGGGTGCCTTCAAAACCACAAACCCAGATGGATGGAGGATTCTCACACTGGCCAACCCAACTCTCACGATTCACACCTCTTCTATGGCTTTCCCTTGAACGTACCCAACTGTTCACTAACATGAAACCAAGGAAACTTGTCTTGGACTCCATGATGGGAGGCTACCCTCAAGCAGCCCCCCGCAACAAAAACGCCCGGCTCAGGCCGCGGTCCAGGTGCTGCCAGTGTGGAGAGCCGGCTTCCCTGGCCGGGGTCTGCAGGCGCCGTTTTGTGTCCTCTTCCCCATTTTCTTTTTGGAGCGGACACTTTTTGTTAGAGAGACAAAGGGTAATCAGAAACCACAAGGGCAAGCTCTTTTTTTTGGGGGGGTCTAAGGGCATGTTAACTTCCCCCGTTCTTTGGCCCACACACCCTCTACTTTCCCAAGTTGAAGCCCGAAGTGGTGCGCAAAACATTGGAATTCACCAACTTTGGTTTTGCCACACAAACCGAGCTCTGTCTCAGATTATGCAAGGACTCGTGTGCCTTCACTAAGAATCCAAAGGAGCCCACGAGACACGGTTATGATTGAAGCCCATAAAGGGGTATGTAAGTACCGCAAGGGGTTATTTTCCAGAATGGCCATGACGTCCGCAGCGTAGATGATTTTAATTGGTTCTGAACAAGGAGTTGCATCGCTCAGCCCCTTGGTGGTTTGCCGATACGAGCTGGCTTTCAGGTGCGACAAGGGTTGGTTTCAAAATTTGTGAACAAACAACCAGACCGTGAGCACCTTTAAAGGGACACCAAAAGAGATCTTTGAAACAATAGGTTAGTCACGCTTAAGCAGGGGAACAGCATCACCTTTCGGCTACCAATTCAACACGTTTCTTTTGCGTGGTGTGATGGGAGGCATGACCGTTGTTTGCTTCACAAGATTCGGTGAAACTCCCGCACCACTTTGGATTTCCCTCCAAGCGGATGCCGCATTGGACATGGGCAAGAACTGCGCGAAGAGAAAGGTGCGCAAATGCAACTCAGCGGCACTCCTGGAGCAGCGTTTTCTCTGAGGTGCACATCCCTGGGGACATGAAGCAGTGGTCCTACGTTGACAACCTATTCCGCCGGAGCCTTTTCAGGCGTTGGTCAGGGGTCACGTCTAAGAGGTAACAAACCGGTTCCGCTCACTTGCACCAAAAGACTCAATCATTTGTGTAACATCCTACCCGCTGGTTAGAGCCCATTGAGTGGCACCCACATTGTCACATTGGGAGTCTGGCAGTGAGTCCAGAGTTGTATCCTTTCGCACTGCTGAGCGGGCGCACTTGATCGGGTGCGCTTACCGTGAAGCGGGTGCACTTGAGCGGGTGCAGTGCTGATTGAGCGGGTGTGCTTGCCATTTGGCGGGAGTGTGTGCAATGCTATATACATATATATATGTAAGTGGTGTGCGGGCGCACTTGAGCGGGTGTTGCCACGTGGCAAGCATGTGTGCAGTGCTGGGCTCGTGCGTTTGACGGGGGAGCTTACCATTTGGCACTTGAGCGAGCGCTCTTTCCATGTAGCAGACTTGTGTGCAGTGCTGAATGCTTGGGCTTGAGTGGGTGCGCTTACCCTTTGGCAGACATGCGCGCAGTGCTGAGCTGCTCAGCTTGCGCAGGCGCGCCTACAACTTGGCAGGAGTGTGCATTTCTGAGCAGCCGCTTGCCATTTGGCAGTCGAGCTTGAGCGGGCGCGCTTACCATTTGGCAGTCCTCCAAAACCTAAACTTGAACATGCCCTTGATACAGGCCTTGGGGAAAAATTGAGCAGAAGAAGCAAGGTGTCGGTAATGAGGACCTCGTAAACAATCATTCAAACCAAGGTGCCGTTGACGCACCGCCGGAAGTGCGCTCTGTGCAACCAATTGCAAGCAAGACACCTTCGGAACCGCTCAGCAAATTCGAGCACGAGGCGTGAAGAAATTGCATGCAATCGTGGGTTGGAATTTTCACGGAGGACCTTTTTGGTGGACGTCATTCGCATGGAGTTCCACGTCCACCAACCGTTTTGGAGGGTTTTCTTCTTGGAACTCAGGGCCACAACTTTGACAGAACCTTTCACAGGCTGGCCATCAGGGCATACGATTTTAGTGCCTCAGGCTTGTGCTGATCAATAGTGGATGGGGGCACACGTTTCAATCAATACCTCGGGACAGCAAGTTGGGAGTTTTCATTTGTGTCACAAGCTAAATAGGTTGCGAAGTGGGGGTGGCATTGGCTTGACGGGAAGGAGAAAGACCAGGGGCACTATCTTCTGACTTCGCCTGTCTAAGTGCCGCTTTCGCTGAGACCTTTGGCTAAGGTTACCACTCTCCCTTCACCAACTGGGAAGAGAAGGAGTTCGAACCTCAGGATGAGCACAGCGCATGCCATGTGGTCCCCAGAATCTGCCTGCTGCCGCTTCCTCGGGGAGAACGTGAGCGAACCAGATCTGGAACAAAACCCTTTGGGTTGCTTCAAATGAGCACCAAAAAGACACCAGGTCTTTTTCGGCAGTGGTTCCCCATTTTACGACAATCCCTTGTCTTGAGCGCCCTCTTAGGGGACAAGCGAATCTCTGCGTCGCAGGCTACAGACATCGCTGACCAGAAAGCTGTGGCAGAAGGCCTGGTCCCGAAACCGGCGGACAGCGATCGGACTCGTGTTCAAACACCCAGTGTTGAAACAACCTCCTTTTGCTTATCCTTCAGCGGGGCCTGGGTCTGGTTGTTGAAGCAAGTTTTGCCCAATCTTGCAACCTATTGATTTTAGCCATCTAAGTTGCGTCTACTTGGGCAAACCAAACCAGCAACCAACCAAACAAGACGTGATGCTACTTTTTGCTTTATGGTGGACGGAACGAAATCAAGCAGCGGCAAGCGCAGACATCATTGTGCAGGTCTCACCCACAATCGCCCATTTCACGTTGCAAAAAGTCAGATGTAGTGTACCCTGATTGTTACAGCACGATTCGGGCGCACTTATATACCTCTTTTCAAAATCAGAACGCTCCATTGCGCAAGGGCTTCCCTGCATTCGACCTGAGGTTTGGTCAAGATTCCACTAGTCCATGGTTCATTTGGAAGGACGCGTAAGGACTCACTAAACTTCTCACAAAAGCCAGGGACTATGTCCTCGGCGCGTCTCTCTCCACAGCTTCCACGCGATTCCCGTGCATGTACGAAATCCTGCACCAGTTGGGACTGCATGAATACTGGGACACACCACCTACCAACCGTTTTTTTTTTTTTTTTTTACCATGGACACAGTGTGTCTGGGTCCATGGAATCGAACATTTGGAGGTGGTCTGAAAATTACTTGTGGGGTGGGACCCCCTTTGAAGCACCATTGCAGGGATATCGCTTTCATGGACCATGTTTACACATGCAGGGCCACGGCCTCAAGCCGCCGCATGTTTGTGGCTTGATCGCCATGGGCCATTTTGAGCCAAAACGTCCAGGCCCACACTTACTCTGATGGACATGAGATTTAGCAAGCCCAAATAATTGGTGGTGAGTCCCCCATGCCTTCAAATTGAGCCAGGGGAATCAGGATATTTTGATCCAACCTCGCTTTTGCTTTCGGAAAGCGCCCTTTGTGTAGCGTCCTTGGACCAGGAGGATTGTTGTGGGGAATGGGCTGTTAGGGGCCACTTTCTGTACCAATTCTGAAGGTGCTGAAGTGGCCTTGGAAATGGCCCTTCCTGGGTCATGGATTTTGATTGTTTTCGGGAGTTATCAAAGCCAGAAACAGGGGTTGCTTCCACTTTAGCTCATTGCGAAGGTGACTTCGATCATAAAGTCATAGCAGAATTTGTGGGTGGTTTGAGCAGGCGCGCTTATCGTTTGGCAGCACGTGTGCGGTGCTGAGCATGTGCTTTGGAGCGGGTGTGCCTATCATGCGTGTGCGCAGTGCTCAGCTTGTGCTCTTGAGCGGGCGTGCCTAGCATCGGCAGGCGTGTGAGTGCGGCGCTGAGCATGTGCTTTGAGCGGGCGTTGGGCACGCTTGCAGCGCTGAGCATGTGCTTTTGGGCGGGCGTGCTTATCATGTGGAAAGCAGGCGTGTGTGCAGTGCTCAGCATGTGCTCTTGAGCGGGCGTGCCTAGCGTCGGCAGGCGTGAGTGCGTTGCTGAGCATGTGCTTTGAGCGGGCGTTGGGCACGCTTGCAGCGCTGAGCATGTGCTTTTGGGCGGGCGTGCTTATCATGTGGAAAGCAGGCGTGTGTGCAGTGCTCAGCTTGTGCTCTTGAGCGGGCGTGCCTAGCGTCGGCAGGCATGAGTGCGGTGCTGAGCATGTGCTTTGAGCGGGCGTTGGGCAAGCGGCGCTGAGCATGTGCTTTTGGGCGGGCGTGCTTATCATGTGGAAAGCAGGCGTGTGTGCAGTGCTCAGCTTGGGCTCTTGAGCGGGCGTGCCTAGCGTCGGCAGGCGTGAGTGCGGTGCTGAGCATGTGCTTTGAGCGGGCGTTGGGCACGCTTGCAGCGCTGAGCATGTGCTTTTGGGCGGGCGTGCTTATCATGTGGAAAGCAGGCGTGTGTGCAGTGCTCAGCTTGTGCTCTTGAGCGGGCGTGCCTAGCGTCGGCAGGCGTGAGTGCGGTGCTGAGCATGTGCTTTGAGCGGGCGTTGGGCACGCTTGCAGCGCTGAGCATGTGCTTTTGGGCGGGCGTGCTTATCATGTGGAAAGCAGGCGTGTGTGCAGTGCTCAGCTTGTGCTCTTGAGCGGGCGTGCCTAGCGTCGGCAGGCGTGAGTGCGGTGCTGAGCATGTGCTTTGAGCGGGCGTTGGGCACGCTTGCAGCGCTGAGCATGTGCTTTTGGGCGGGCGTGCTTATCATGTGGAAAGCAGGCGTGTGTGCAGTGCTCAGCTTGTGCTCTTGAGCGGGCGTGCCTAGCGTCGGCAGGCGTGAGTGCGGTGCTGAGCATGTGCTTTGAGCGGGCGTTGGGCACGCTTGCAGCGCTGAGCATGTGCTTTTGGGCGGGCGTGCTTATCATGTGGAAAGCAGGCGTGTGTGCAGTGCTCAGCTTGGGCTCTTGAGCGGGCGTGCCTAGCGTCGGCAGGCGTGAGTGCGGTGCTGAGCATGTGCTTTGAGCGGGCGTTGGGCACGCTTGCAGCGCTGAGCATGTGCTTTTGGGCGGGCGTGCTTATCATGTGGAAAGCAGGCGTGTGTGCAGTGCTCAGCTTGTGCTCTTGAGCGGGCGTGCCTAGCGTCGGCAGGCGTGAGTGCGGTGCTGAGCATGTGCTTTGAGCGGGCGTTGGGCACGCTTGCAGCGCTGAGCATGTGCTTTTGGGCGGGCGTGCTTATCATGTGGAAAGCAGGCGTGTGTGCAGTGCTCAGCTTGTGCTCTTGAGCGGGCGTGCCTAGCGTCGGCAGGCGTGAGTGCGGTGCTGAGCATGTGCTTTGAGCGGGCGTTGGGCACGCTTGCAGCGCTGAGCATGTGCTTTTGGGCGGGCGTGCTTATCATGTGGAAAGCAGGCGTGTGTGCAGTGCTCAGCTTGTGCTCTTGAGCGGGCGTGCCTAGCGTCGGCAGGCGTGAGTGCGGTGCTGAGCATGTGCTTTGAGCGGGCGTTGAAGAGCTGCTGCAGAATGTGCTTTTGGGCGGGCGTGCTTATCATGTGGAAAGCAGGCGTGTGTGCAGTGCTCAGCTTGTGCTCTTGCGTGGGTGCTCTGATCGTTTGGCGTGTGTGGTGCTGAGTTTGCTCTCTTGGGCGCGGCGCCCTAATGGTAAGTCCTATTATACACCTACACCTTTGCAACCGTGTTAGTAGAACCCGCAGTTAGCGGATGAGACAGCCACTGCTGACTTCTTTGCGTCGCAGATCTCGGGTTGGTTTTTCACCAGGAGTCGCGCTTTGCCGAGCAGAGCCGTGAAGTGCAGAAGGCCCCGGAGCTGCGATCTTCAAGCCAATCGCGAACCTGATGACAATTGCACCAAGAGCTCTGCAGAATGTTTGTGTTTGTGCTAGTGTTTTTTTTGTTGTCTGCTTGCTTGTTCGATGATTTTGTGCTTTGTTCTCTTTTGTCTTCTGTTTTGTGTTGGTTTTTTTCTTTTGGTTAGTTTGTCTTTTCTCTGATTGTTTGTTTGTTTGTTTGTTCTTTGCTTCTTCGTTTCCATTTGTGTTCGTTCTTTGATTGGTTGTTCTTCTATAGTTGTTTCTTTGTTGCGTCGTTTCGTCGTTGAACTGCTTGCTTGCTTGCTTGCTTGCTTGCTTGCTTGCTTGCTTGCTTGCTTGCTTGCTTGCTTGCTTGCTTGCTTGCTTGCTTGCTTGCTTGCTTGCTTGCTTGCTTGCTTGCTTGCTTGCTTGCTTGCTTGCTTGCTTGCTTGCTTGCTTGCTTGCTTGCTTGCTTGCTTGCTTGCTTGCTTGCTTGCTTGCTTGCTTTGTTTGTTTGTTTGTTTGTTTGTTTGTTTGTTTGTTTGTTTGTTTGTTTGTTTGTTTGTGAGTGTGTGCGTGTGTGTGTGTGTGTGTGTGTGCGCGTTTGTGTTTGTGTTTGTCTGTCTTTTGAAGATATCCCTTTCGGAGCTGCTTACAAGGGGACCCCACAAGGACATTTTTTTAGTGCCAAGTGAAGGAGGCAGTTTGCCATGAGAGGTTTGGTTCAATATTTCCAGCAGATGGTTCTTGGGTAACTTCCCGATGCTTTCCAGGTATCCTTCATTGAGGGAACCGCCATAAACCCATGGACAACAACTGGCTTCTGACAACGCTGATTGAACACAATGAGGGAATCAACCTCAAGAATTAATCATTTAGATGTGTGAAGGACGCAGGGGACCAAATCCAACAGAAAAGAAACAGGGGACTCGGGGCTGGTCTGATTGTCAGTCCGCTGGTCTGATGGTGGCGACCTATGGTGGAGAGGCGGGCGGCTGAGCAGCTGTGGCTCAAAATAGGGATTTGGACCACAAACTAGTGGCGTTGCTTTGAGTTTCCCTTACACAACCTGAAAAGGGTACCCGCAAACAACTAGTTCGCACCCACATAACACCGGTTCATCTTGGACCCTCACCTCAACAGTCACCACTATGAACCATTCAGGCTGATCTGAACTTTGTCTCTGAGCTTCGTCCACTGCTAGTCGGCAGTGTCCAAAGTTGATGGGTAATTTGTCAAAAGAGTGGGCTGGAGGTTTCTAAGAGCATCACATTTGGATTCTCGTTCAAATCGAAGCCTCAGACAATTCCGGGCGGAAGAACATGGTGCCAGGCTAGGACCCCCACCCTTCCCTCGTAAAAGGTTCTCAGGACCCTGGGGATCCCTTTAAAGAAGGTTCCTTCCGAACTTTTCCCGGGTACGTTGCCAAGTGGGTTTGTCTCCGAGAACCTACTGCAAATGCACATGTCCGAGTGATTCCCCCCTTCAAGCAACCCCACAAAAAGAATCTGCTTTGTGAGGGAACTCAGGATCTCGCAAAAGCCGCAGGTTTGCGTCGGTTTCTCTTGGTTTCCCTTCAATCAGCACCCCAATTAGAGGTCACCATGGTCACCCTCAAAAATGCCGCTGTGAGGTTTGCTTCAAGCGCGATGGCAAGAGCTGCTGCACAGCCCACGACGTGAAGCCGGGCGCTTGGGCGTGGGTGACAGTGGCACCCCGAGGGACCCTTTTGGGGTTGCGTGAATGCGACACCCTTTTTCCATCCATTTAAAAGCACCTCAAATCCCTCTTTCGGAAAATGGCGGAACAAACACAGTGGGAATGGTTGAGGTTTCTCAGAACGATGGGTGAAACAGGCATCGTCGGTGTGTATCTGGCTCTTTGGCCAATGAAATCGGCTTTGGAGATGTTTTCAATGAGCTGAGCTTAGGAGGCCGAGCCCCAAGGTGTTGTACAAGCGCGAGCCTTAGCGACAGTCCCCGGTGGCAAAGGATTTAGACCGGGAGCCATGGGCTGTTTCCTTCGGATTCCCAAACAGTAACTGCCCCAACAAGGGCTACCCTCAAAGAAATCACATGCCCGAAAAGGCGGGCCGCTCTTGTTTAGACCTGTTGCCACATGTCAAGAAGGCACGGGCCGCATGGATGCGGGATATGTGTAAAATGATTGGTTCGGGGTGTACGCCAGATGGCTGTGCCCTCAGGGAACAGTGAAAAAAGCGCCTACTTTACTTTATGTCCATGCTGAAGACTCGCCTTTCACCAGGCGGCTCCATGCCAAGGACCTTGAACATGAAGCCAAAAGCGCCGCCTTTCCGCCTGGAGGCCTCTTGGGATGATAAGCATGGCAGTGAGGATTTTGCCATGTTTCCTCTGAGTACTGTTGTTTCACCTGGGATTCTTCTTCTTGGTGCACTGATTTCTGACTCTCTGTGGAACCATGTCGCGTATGGAAAGCAGCTCACCTCTTGTGTCATGAAGCGCACAGGTGGAGACAACGGCGCTGACAGACGCCCACATATTGGTCGGCTGGAGCCCGAGAGCCAAAGCAGAGGTGCTTCTTTCAGCCAAGTACCATAGGTTGCCTCCATTTCCTCCTTTTGGTGGTTGTAAACATCACCTGGCTGGCAAATCTTAAGGCGGTCATGATTTCAAGGAGAAGCTGTGGCGCCGGTCGAACAACTCCCTTGGGGTTGGTGATGGTGATTAGCCCCTTACAAGGACATTTCGGCAACAATGGCAGAAGGAAGCATGACCCATGTAAGAAGCATTGACCACGACGGGTGACGCCTGGGACTGTCCCATGCTGATTTTCTAAGGTGCTGGCCCCTTGAACTCTTTGGAGGCTTGGCATCGGCGAAGCTGCCCTTTGGGTTCTGTTGAGAAACTACCATTTATGAACAATCCGGCAGAAGGTTTCCTTGACGAAAATGAGGGAAGTACAGCTAGAGAAGTGTCAAGCATTGAAGCAGTGGATAAGGGGGCTGTAGAGTTTGCATCTCTCGGGCAATCCATCCCTCCTTGGGCGGTGTGAATGTTGGGATTTTTCACCGACAGATGTGCTGTGCGAACCAGCAACCGTGATTTGGGTGTGTCTTTTGTTTTTTGTTTTTCTTTTCGACGGTACCCTTTTGGGGTGGTTTTACAGGGAAACCAAGGGACACCACTGGTTGAGGGTTTCCGTATTTTGAGTTCTGAGCTGTGCGTGAGAAGAATGCACAGAGCATGCCGACGTGGTCGACCCTTGATCATGTCTCTGTCACGCATGGCCAAATGATGATTGCATCGTAGGTGTTGTTTGTTTTGTTGTATTTGTGTTTGCTTTTTGTGTGTTTAGTTTGCTTTGTCTTATCTTTCATACTTCAGCAGACACTGTTGTAGGCCATAGCTCGGCAAGTCAATGTCCCTCAAACAAAGATGAAGAGCACACTGATATCAAGCAGAAGTGAATGGTATTGCCAGCTATTGCAGCGTTCTGCGCTGAGAACTCTCTTTGACAAAGCCACCTTGGCTTCTGATTCATATCGTTTTCGGTTGTTTTCTTGATTCCCACGGCAGATCGTCTTGGGCGCGCATGGTGGGAGCTGGTCGGCCGTTCGGCCGGCGACCTGGGAGAGATGGGTTGGGGGCGAGTGACGGCATCACGGGGTTGCTTGACGCACAGAGAGACAGATCAATGTGGGTATGAGGAGTTTGCTTAATTGGGACCCGTTGGCGGACATCAATCGCATTCATTTGTGTCCATTAACCATTTGTGAGGGTACTCCTTACAACAACTGACACCATCCATTTGGGGCTCCCCCCCCCCAATTTCGAAACAGCCCCAGGTCTAGTTGGTATTGGGCCTTATTGTAGCATCAACCGCTTGCTAGGTTGTGCATCATCATGCAGGTTTCTACCATTGCAGATGCTTTAACACACACGCACACACACACACACATCTTTGATGTGCAGAAATCCTCCTACAGCTACACATCGGACAATGGCACCCCAGGTGGCTTGCCTCTGGGAGCGCTACTCCTCTGACCGCATTTGATGGCTCGCCGCAGAAGGAGCCGGAGCAATCTGTCTACATTGGGCCATGAATACATTATGATCTTTGCCCGAGCATTTACTCTCCTGTACATATTGCTATTGCTCCTGTGAGCTGCGTGCAGCAGATTTGGGGTTAACCCCTTGGCTGCTGTTGTCTTCGGGGAAGGCTGCAGCAAAAAACAAAGGCGGAACTGTTTGCGAAGGAAGCGTGCCTTGTTTCCCATGTTTGCTCATCAGCCAGGGAGGTTCTATTCCGCCAGTTGACACGGAACCCGAGAAGGGGGTTAAGGAGATTCGAAGCAGAATGGCTGTTTGGGTTCCGCGTTCAGCAGTATCAGTTGCTTTGTTGCTGAGAACATGTCTACCTGGTAGCGACGCAGACACAAATCAAGCCTGGGTATACAGAAGCTTAGAAGCGAAAAGCCTCAACCAGACGGTACGGATATCCGCCCTGTTAATTGTTTACATGTTTGAGTGGTCCCCTTTTGGTTTTAGAGGTTGATGGTATGATGTTTTGTGCGTCCCTTTCGGTTTTTTGGGGTAATATGGTCGGGCAGTTTGAATCCCCCAGAAAATGCCGGCCTTTTTTTGTCCAACATGCGGGCCTGACATCTTGGTCGAGCTGCAAGCATGTTGGTGCTGGTTATCGGATGTGGGGGTGTCTTTTTGTTGAGGCTCGATACCCTTTTCGGTTGGTTGGGAAACGAGCGGGAACACCCGTTTTGGGCGTTCCATATCCTGTTTGTTTGGATTTCCTCAAACTGCCTGCGGTTTTCCTGTTGGCTTCCCTAACGCCGACGCGGACGTGCCCTCGGAGACGAGCGGAGCCACTCACCACGAACGGATCCCAGGACCTTCCGCCCTCCGAGGTCTTCGCGAAGGCCAGCATCAAGCTGGAGGAGGCGAGGGACGCGGGTGGCGCGGGCCCCCAAAAGCGTTGTAGTGGTCCACTTTGGCGCAAAAAAATCCACAGGTGCCCTCTAAATTGGGTTTTGATAACTTTTATTTTGTTACAATTTATTTATTTATTTATTTTATTGTAGGACATGCCAAACTAGGGTGAGTCTGGTGAATTTTGGTTGTCCGTTTGGCTTCCCTAACCATCAAGTAACCATCAACAAGGGTGCCCACTCTCTCTCTCTCTCACACACTTAAGGGGCCGGGTAACCCTTAATGGCTGTTTGGATTGGGGCTAACCCCAAGCTCTTGTAGAGGGTAACTTGGAAACCACGCCCGGAACACCTCCAAGTCACCAGTCCAAGCCCCAGTCAGTGGGAAGCAGAGTGGGGACAGCCTAAACCCTGGGCATGATATCTTTTGTTTGGTGTTCTCGAACCGTTGCGTTTCACGTTCTGCGGTGTTGCTTTGCTAAGGTGAGTGAGGGCCCTCCATGAAAACCTTATTCTCACAGGATGTTTGCAGTGCAAAGGCGTTCGAGGTTGCGCCAGCCCTCCGAGTTTTGCTGGCTTGCAACGTGTTTACATGCCAGTAAAGGCCTTGTGCAATTTTCTGGAAGGTATGCCTATCCCACTGTAGGTTGCATCTAGTCATTTCGCGGGTCAGGATGGCAGACTTGAAGTTCGCCATGGAGTTTCAGTGGGTTGCTGAGCAGGCATTTCCTGCTGTGTGTGTCCCTTCCCAGCCATACCCTGAGACGAAAGAAGGGGTCAGCAAACCACTCAGATGTCTTCACTGATTCCCAGATAGGGCTGCAGCCTTGATCTACCTGATAGATTCTTGGCTTGGTTGAGTATTGCTCAGACCAAGGAGTGGGGCTTCTATGTGCCGGAGCATTACTTGGCCGTTCTCAGGCAGCTTTCAGCTGCATGTTCTCTGCCATCCGCATTCAAATGCTTCATGTTGCCAGCGTTTAGTTCGGATTTTCAGACCAAACGAGCGCTCTGTCCAAAGCAGCCAAATGACTTGTTGAGACATATGGGTAACACCCGCAACTGTGGAACAGGGGTCTTTCCAGTCCGTTGGGGTTTGGGAAGGGATTTGGACCAAAGCGAGAGTCACCTTACGCATGTTTGCTGTGCTTTTGTTGGAGCCAGGTGGTTGCATCGCACAGCTTTCCAGCTGTGTGGATGCCCATGGGGTTTTGGTTTTCGCTTTGAAAGTAGCGAAGAAGGTGCCAATTCCTGTTTTCCCCATGGCTGGGATTCTGAGGCACGGGTTGCCAATGTTCGGCGAGCGTAAACAAGCCTTTCTTAAGAGGTCCGAAGCAGATGCCCCGGACAAGGGCGAAAAGAGGCTTCTGCATGTTGGGATTTCGATGTCTGCGCAAAGCATTTGGGCAGGAAGAATCCGGTGGGGATCTATGCCGCGAGCTCAGTTGACGCGCGGCTTGCGGCAATGCGGACTGGCATGTTAGTCTGCACGCAGAAAAGGCTACTGCTCCAGACGCTGGCTATGACTTTTGAAAGGGAATCAATCGGAATGTAATTCTGATGTTTACAACAAAGGGCCCATCTCCACTAAAAACTCATACCACATGACCGGCTGTTGTAATGGGTGTGTCTCAAAATAGGACAGCCTCCCATGAGATGGTGTTTTGTCCTTTGGTGTTCCTTCAAGACCACCCGAAAATGGGTCCAACTCTAAACAAGAAACAAGACGCACCAGACCAGAGACCAGCTCTGTGACAGTTTGGCAGTTGATGGCGGTGGTCAGCTGAGGTTCGTCAAAGTATTACGCTATCCATTTGAGGAACAAGTGGCGGACTCACACAAAAACCAATCCAAATCACCAGAGTACCCACAAAACCAGAGCCCTGAGCGAATTGTCTGATGCCCTTCGCAGCACATCAAAAGCATTTGTTGACCGTGTCTCAGCTGTCGGCCAGGTTGGCGTACCAGGAGACGTGACAGCAACTTGGACGGTGTGCCGCCAAGACTTATCGGAAAAACGGCGTGCGCAGATCCAAAGGAATGTTAGCTCGGATACATCCGTACCAGCCAGAGGGCCCCCTAAATAGCCACTTTGCAGTGAGTGAGGTTTTCAAAACAGATCGAATTCCACTGGTTTCTTCATGTTTGGTCCTGATTTTTCACCAGTGCCATCTAGGTTATCTAGGAGAGGATTATGCGAGCGAGACGTTTGCACCTGCCTCACATTGCAGTTTTGAGCTCCAATCATTTTTTGTGGAAACTCAACAGGCACCAAACATTCGGCAACGGCCTGCGGGTGGTGCCATGCCACCGTCAAACCACCCCCAATAACCTCTCTCGAGCGCCAAACTCCCCTCGAAAAGCTCCATTGGCAGTTTCAAGCTGAACTCGGATTGGTGTTAAACCGTGCCGCGCCGATTTCAAGGCTCTCTGCTTGTCCGGATTTCTTAGCGTCCTCTTTAAGCAAGCCATCTTGGCTCTTTTGGGCCTGCTGTCTCCACGGGCACACTCCTGGCCTTTCTTTACAGGCTCTTTCCAATCGTGGGAGACTCCGCTTGAAGGCATCCCTTCTCTGAGCAAAAGTTGCCATTGCAATGTCCCAAGAAATGCATTTGATCAATCTTCAGGTCACGAGAGCAAATGCATCAGAAGTTGGAACCGCTGCGCATCTCGCAGGTCTCGGTTCCAGCCCTTCGGTGAACGGTCTTTGTTGGCCTTGGTTGCTCGGCGTCTCCCAGCCATACGGGTTCCTTAGCTTTTTAGTTTTCTACCGATAAGTGGGGTTGATCACATCTTTAGAGTTTGGAGCAACGCACCGAGGTTGCCATGGCTGTTCGTGCGCTCCTTCTTGCGCTTTGCCTTCAACCTGCTCGAAGCGTGGTTGGCACAGATTCATCGAGCTTACTGCATCTGCCAACTTGCGTAGTCAACAAAAACTGGGCTGGCGTGAACTCCTACTTTGCCTGGGCTTTGGATGTCGCGGACCAGGCCGGGGGATAATCAAACAGGGCTCTGCATGCACGGGTGTGTTTTTGTTGTCGCTTTTTTTGGAGACAAAAGGAACACCACACATTTGGCGTTTCGCACTCATGTTGGCGGCCATTCTTTTGGGGGGTTCCACCTAGCGTTTCATTTTTTGAGTAGCCCCAGGGTGAAATGAGGCATTTCGAGATTTAGGCCCACCTTGAATTCCAAAGATGGGGCCCTGTTTCATATCCGGGTGTGTCGTGTCTTAAAACACATCCCGCTTCTGTAGGGGAGAACCAACAGCACCATTTAGGGGGCTCCTCCAGAAGACGAGCCACCCGGCCCCGCTCAGGAGACCATCCTCAGCAACATGGAGAAGCGGGGCCTCAAGGCGCCGAAGGGAGTCCGGCCCTTTTTTTTGGTATGGGACCCCCTCAAATGGTGGATTTTCCTTTGGGGTTCCCAAGAAAAACCAGCCCAAAAAGGGCACCCTCAAAGAAAGACACCCCCTCATTACCTTTGTGGCCCACAGGTTTGTTTTTTTTTCTTGGGGGTGATGCTAGGTTGGAAATCTCGAGAATCCGTCGGTGAGGTGATGCGGATTTTTGTGGCCACAGTGCCCCACCACTTCAAGGGCACATCTGCGCAGTTTGTTCCGCACTTGGAGCCGGATCACATGGGGGACTACAACGTCACCGTGCCCCAGACGCCCAGTAGCGCTTTCCGTTTGTTTCCCAAAGGTGCCCCCCCTTCCCTGTTTGTGGGGATTCGTTTTGCCCAATGGGCACCGGGATGCTGAGGTGCTGAATTTGATCAACGACTTCATGGTTAGGGCAAAGGCCTTGGGGACGCGGAGCGGGTTCTGAGAAGCCTCGAGTTGGTTGCACCAAAGGACACTACAGTGCGGTAGCATCCCAGGAGGGCCACCCAAGTTGTCAGCAGCTTTCTTCGGGTTCGAAAGGGCTGGGAATGTTAGCTACTACGGTCGTCGGAATCACTGGGTTAGTGAAGATCATTGAGAAAGATCAGTTTTCTGGGCAGAGGTACGCAAGACGTGCCTCTGCACCTAGAAGGCGAGTAATATTTCGGCGGTCTAGTGCAGAGCCGTGGCGTTGTTGAGAACAATGTAAATAGACATCATACATGCATTTTCACGTACGTATGTCCAAAACCCGCCCTCAAACAGGAAGGTTGCTTTAGCATTTTAGCATGCCTTTGGACTGAAGATGGACAATTCTCACGACCCCGGTGTTTGAGTCTTTGCTGGATGGAAGATTCAAAAGCGAACACGGTTTCAAGCGCTTGAAAGCGGGGCTTGCTGAAGCATTGGGCAACGGTTTGAAGAATCACTTGGACTCAGGGAAAGCCCAAAGGAGCTGGGCACAAGAGTGGTCTTGTCCTACATTTACACAATATTTTTCCCCGTTGTCCTGTTCTCATGTAAACAGCCAAGCCACAATGCATCTGCCAGGTTTGCATGCTCCCTCAGTGTGGTTGGGTAGTGGGATGGGTTGTGACACCGCAGTTTGCAGCATACCGTGGAAATCCGATGGTGTACTTTTTGCACTTCTGCAAGCATGGCGTGGCACATACGCCAGTCGCGAGAGACCAGAGAGATATCACGCAGGGCCAACAGCAAAACCCGAGTGATGACAAAAATCCAACCCCCACCCCAACCCCCCAACCCCTCACTTGGGATGGAATGAATCTAAGGAAAGCTCCAGAAAGAATCTAAGTCGTTTGGTTTTTGGTGGGACTTCGAGGCCCAAGTTAAACTCACAGCACAGACAGAACCAGTCCAGTAGGGCCAGGGGCTTAGTTGTTGAGGCTATTCTAGGCAAGTTTATTTGTACTTGTTCTTGCTTCAATTGTGTTGCTCACTGAGATGGCCTTAGTGTTAACAAACACAGTCGAATAGTAGTTTGACTGAAGAAAGAGGCTTTGACGTGGACTAGACCATATCTGGGATTGCATAAGCTCGATTAAAGATTCAAATCCAAATGCTCAAGCTAGGAATCCAGGAGCGCTTTTACGAGCAGTGATTCAGGTTGGAGGATTCTTTTAAGCTTTCAGACGCAGATACCTGTGTATGTGTAATCTACCATATTCACGCTGCTTTGCGATTTCGGTGTGTGCGTGTGTGCGTGCGTGCGTGCGTGCGTGCGTGCGTGCGTGCGTGCGTGCGTGCGTGCGTGCGTGCGTGCGTGCGTGCGTGCGTGCGTGCGTGCGTGTGTGTGTGTGTGTGTGTGTGTGTGTGTGTGTGTGTGTGTGTGTGTGTGTGTGTGTGTGTGTGTGTGTGTGTGTGTGTGTGTGTGTGTGTGTGTGTGTGTGTGTCTGTGTGTGTGTGTGTGTGCGCACGTGCGCGTGAGTGTGCGTGTCTGTGTGTGTGTGTGCTTTCGAGGTTGATTAAAGGGCAACCAAAAGGGACACAACCATTGTGGGGGTTCAAGTCCCTAGTTTGACGAGCCAGACCCACTTGGCTGGGCTTGCCACGGCTTCTCAGTCCCTACGGTGTTCCAGGCATTTTCAACATGACGTTTGGAGGGTGTCTTCCTTCCAACCATTTGGAGGGTCACTGCGAGGGGCCCGGATCTATGAGATGCATGACTTCAGAGCTTTCCCGCAGGCGCACAACATCAAGCTTAATATCGTCTTGCACGACCGCTATGCGTTGGGCTGCTGGTCCTGTGATGGATATCAGAAGGACCACAGTTGGACCTTTGGCCGAGGAAAGAGAGCTTGTTGAAACAACGGGTAGGGATTGTTGCAAGGGATTTTCAGCCCCTTCAAAAGGCTGCGAGTCCCCCCCCCCCAACCCCCACAAGGGGGTAGGTTTTTGTGAGGACCTCGGCCTGAGCTGCATCACCCCGCATTGCGGGAAAGAGCCCAACGACGTCCGCAAGTTTTACACCGATGCCTTAGCCATCAAAAAGTTCGACGAGCGGTTGCTCAAGATCCTGACACTTGTCAGCAAAGGTCGCCTTTTACTCAGACCGTTTTGTTCTCTCCGAACTAGGCCGTTCTCTAGGTTCCAACCAGTTGAGGCACCAAACCATGAGCCCGAAAAATGCCCCCCGAGGACATATGTGAACCCGACCTTCGGCAAGCCCTGGGGGCATCTCCCAGAGGCGAAGCTTGGGGCGTTTCGCGAAGTATTTTTTCCTCGGATCCATGGCCCAAAGATCAACATGCCCAACTGAGCGCGTCTTGTTTTGGGGTGCCCCCCGTTTGGTGGTTGTCAAGAGAAACCCCAAGGAAAGCCACCATTTTGGCATACCCAACTCACACAATTCCCAAACTCAGGGGAATCATGAATGCACTTTACGCACATTGGACCGTGGCTCGTGGTATCACGACCGTTGCACACCGCAATGTTGAAGGGCCCAACAAAACACCAAGCATTCTCAAGGGCCTCGTTTGGACAAAGTCTCATTCGTCTGTTTTTCAAGCGTTTGCGCTGAAAAAGACGGCCTGCACGCACTGCGACTCGTGGTGATGCACGTTAGGGCATGTTTTTCTTTCTTTTTTCTCCCGGCGCTCCGAAACAAGGAAAGCGGCAAAGGTAAAAGGAATCTTAAACACCCATTGTGCTGCATGAGGGCGAACGTATTGCCCTCTTGGAGCTGCGCAATGAAAACCACCAGCAGGTCAATGTTTGGTCAGATTTATGGACGCGTTTCGCGTGGCAGGCACGGCACGGTCCATATTCACCCCGTTTTGTCACCCCGTTTTACCCTCAACAGCACAAGCCCATATATAGGGTCACTCACCAGATTCCCCACAAAAACCAGGGACACTGTAATTTTCCCACGTAAATCAAGGTAAAACAGCATTGACCGCGGCTGATGCAGGCAAAAAGCAAGCACACACACACACACACCATGGCTCATTAGTCAGCTGTTTTCGCCATCCATTTTGGTGGTCGGTTTAGAGATAAACCACAGGGAAGCCACTCATGGCTGACCGCGTCTGATTTTCTGGACCACGAACCAAAAGGTGAAATATATTCATGAACCGGGTTGGAACAACGGATGTTTTGGTGCCCTCCAAACGTTTTCTCAAAATAGGCCCTCAAAAATGGCTCTCAAAATAGGCCCTCAAAAATGGCTGGCTTCTGGTTTCCGGCGATGGTCGGCTTCCACGGGTTTCGTTCGGCAGGTGGTGGCGATGTTCGCGCCGCAGAACGAGGCCCAAGGCCTGGACCCCCACTTTCAGAAGAACTGGACCTGCGCGCGTGCGGCCGTCATGCGGAAGGTCATGGATCCCCAGCGCCTTGGGCATGGAGCCTTGTGGGCAACTGGGTTTGGGTTGCCACTTTGGTGTGAAGGGAACTTCCTTGAAAGTGACTCAACATGGAGAATTGAGGTGGATCCACATCTCTGTGAGCCCTCAGTTTTCTTAGCCCAAACAATTTGAAGTGGAGACTGCCGTGGTATCACCAGGGTTGCAAGAGGTCTCAAGGTCTGGGGCCCGAAAGTCGGAGCTTCCAACGATGGGCTCTTGCTGAGACAAAACTTGGGGGTTCCCTGAAGTGGCAAAAATGTGTGGCCCGGGCTCCTCAGGGCTCCTCATTTGATAGGGTTGAAGATTTCTGCTGGTTTCAGCGCAGCTAGTTGATGCAATACTCACATTTGGGCTCTGTCTGTGGCAATGGAGTGTTAGCCCTTTCCAGACTAAAGCCACAGGGAGGCTGCAGAGTAGTTTCTGTTTGGTTTCTTTCTTTGCTTGGCAGGATTCCAGGTTTAGGTGCATTGGTAGTCCAACAGCCAGAGCGTCAGACTTGAGCTTGTGGGTTTGTGAAGCCAAACAAAAAGGCTGCCAGTGCGAGGCCACTTGTCACCCCGGATATGCTTCCCAAAGTGCGCCACGGTTAGCGCTTGTTGCCGTTGTTTCTTGACGGATGTTGGTGCGTTCAGATGCACACCGGATGTGCGCTCGCTTCCATTCCATTTTATTTGTGACCCCAACATAGACTTAAACCACCCATGTAGAAATGGAACCCTGCTTGAGGATCTACTGCCCCCGATATCCGCGAGGGAATTCCGCTTTCTGGGTCCTGGTAGTGGTTTGGGGGTCGTGGAAATAGTCAGAAAGATTTCTGGGCAGACTTTTTTCGTGAATAAGAACATGACGAAGATGGACCTGGTTGTGATTATGGTGGGGGCTCAAAACGGGCTTCGGTTTTCCTTTTGGATTAATTTGCCTTTAAACCATCAAACATGGCCCAAACCCAAAAGGAGCCCCGAGGGTACGGTTATGATAATGACCATGGCACTGGTTATGGTTGTGGTCATGCTTGTGACCGGTTTTGTCTCAATATAGGGAACCCCCCCCAAAATGGCCCAAGCAGCCCCTTTTTGGTTCCCTTTGAAGCCAAAGGGGGTTCCCTCCAAACAAGAAGCACACCCGAGGATCTTGATCGCCACGGGCGGCGGCCGAACCTTCGAGGAATCCTCTTGGAAGGAGCACTTCGAATGCTCCGTCATTGACGTGGTCACGCTGCACGACTACGAGGTCGCGAATTGGACTCCTTTGTGCCCTGGCCTTTCGCGATTCGAAAGAAGCAAGTCTGACACTGGCTGTGGCTATGGGGAGCACCTCTTTTCCAACCGTAGATGTTCAATAATAAATCTCGGGGACTGGGGGGGGGATGCCCCGAAATTCCCATGGAACAATGAGTTTTGTCCGGGGCTCAGCCTCGTGGTCGGCGCGAAGGGAAACAGCAACTGGCCAATGCCAGAATTAAGGTGGGTGCGTCGACGTCTTTAGTGAGGGTAACCCTTTGTGCGGTTTTGATGAGCAACCAACTGGACAAACAACCACAATGTTGGGGGCCCCTAAAAAGGGACCAGTCACCCATATAGCTGGCCAGCGGCCTGACACCTTCAGCCACTCAGCCAACCTTTGCGCTAGTTCCTTTGGTGTGATTCCAGCGACATGGTTCTTTTAAGTCGCAAGACACAGTTCAACATCATCAGGTCCCTTGGCGCCTGGGCCATCAAGATGTTTGGACATAAGTTGTGTGAGGAGAGCCATGGGATCGGCGCGTCTCAGGATGGAAGCCCTGGGCCGGGCAAAAGCCCTTGCTCTGCAGCACGGGAAGCGGGTCATCTTCGAGGAGTTCGGCTCCAAGGCCGGGCTTCGGATCAGGTTTGCCGATCCCCAGAAGCGGATTCGGATCAAAGAAATGACCGAATTGGGTTTGTCTCAAAATAGGATGTGGACCCCCCCCACCAAAATGGCTGGTTTCCTTTTCAGTTTCCCTGCAAGACTATTCAAAGATGGTACCCGTGACCAGATAACAAGTGAACCGGCTTTTGTTCACAAGGCTCTGTGCATCCTAAATCTATCTGGGCTTCTTCCACAGCATCCCTGACCTTTCTGGTTTCGAGTTGAGGCAAAATACGAACCTCTTGTGCCATGAGAGGTAATTATGTTTTCTTCTCACTGGAACCCTTCAAGCCTTGCGCTCATGGTGCATCCAGTTGCAACACTCGCAGCGCAGGACAAAGAGTACCGACCCGACTACTTCTATTCCACCATCACTGCTTCGGTGCACATGGGCGGCCTGGCTCATCCTTTTTGTCAGAAACCGGAAGGAGTGATGAATGACTTCTTTGGGAGAGGATGGAGAGGTTCAAAATGGTGCATTCCCTTTGGTAATTTGCAGGGATACCAAAAATACTCCCTATATTGAAAAGTGCCCCTAGAACTGTAGTCACACAGCTTGACTTTGAGGAAAGGCAAACAGATCAAGTGATGTGACAGTATATCTTTTGTGCCTGTGTAGTATTGCTCGGATCTTTTCACAAGGCATGCCGTTCATGCCCTGGGAGTACATGATCCCCGGTGACACGAAGAGCGACGACTACGAGTTCGACACTTACCAGGCAGGGTGCCAAACGCCTGTTCAAATACGCCATTGGTTCCCCTCTCGCGGAGATCCAGCGAGTTACCCAAAATTGAGCCAAGGCCAGCTGGGCAATACTCGTCTACGGGGCGATCATTGCAAAGGAGTCGAAGGGCGCCTTCTCTTGGCCCAACATCTTGTGAGGCATTCGCGACAAAATTGCTGCAACCAGGAGGGGTTTCAGGAGACTCCTCTGCAAATAGCTTTTGGCCCCATGTTCATTTTTTGGGTTTAAGTATAGAAGCAAGCGCATGGTGTCTTTTTTGATGGTTAAGACTCGACGTGTTGTATCCTGAAGGTTTGCCTGCCGTCCGCTGCCTTTCCCTGGGGCCAGTCTCGCGCCTTTGCAGCGTACCATCACAGCTGACTGCCCCTGACTGCCCAAGCTTTGCCGGAGCCGGCTTCCTTTCTTGAGTTTATTCAGTGGTGGCTGTTTGGGATGCATGGTACAGCCGCACAGCACATGTCAGCGGAGCAAGTAGCTAGCGTGTGCCCGTGCTCAAGCAACTTGACACAAATCCCAATGCTTTTCTGGGCCCCTACGATTCGGAGGCATACCAAGAGTGACATAGAAAGGATGCCACGCGTCGCAGTCAGAATCTTGAGCGTGCGGCCTGAGGCGTAGCCTCGAGAACGTGTTGGTTTCGTACATTCAGACGAAAACAGGGGCCTGCCCATTTCTCCCTAAAGGGGGAAGCAAGTGAATTTCTGCGGGCTCATCTCACAGAGAACTCAAAGCAAGCACCCTAGTTGTTCAAGGCCACCTGACATGACAAAAAACGATAGGGAAACACTCACTTTGGCGTCTCGAATGCATACGGAGGCTTGTGGGTTCGCCATTCGCAGCTGTTGTTTCCATTTGAGTTGTGTTCCATCCTGGGATTCTCCGGTTGCTCCACTCTCATTGAGAATCTGCTGTCAGTTTTTTTTGTTGGCTCCCCTTTCACTTTTTGTTTTTCTATCACGATTCATGAAACTAATCTGGTGCAGTTGACCATGCATAAACATCCTCACCAGTGTTGTGGGTGTGTTGTAGTTTGACGCACACACCATGTGGGGTTCCACGGAAACTCATCATGCATGAAACACAGTGGAGGACAGCCTTTGCACATTATGCACAATCTGCATGAATCAATGAGAGTGAGGCATGCATGTTTTACAGCTGTCTAGAAACAGGCATCCGAGTCATTCAAAACCAGAAGCTGTCGTCCCACCACTGTGCCCGGGCATTTGGTATCACGTATTGCAACAGTCGGGCTGAACAAAAACCAGATGATGCCCTTTTGAAGGTAGATTAAATAATCGGCAATGCAAAGAGAGTCAATACAGAAACCACCCGAACAAGGCTGCACGTGAGACGATTTGTGCAAGGTGCCAGTAAAAGGCATGCAACAAGTCAAGCTCGAAGGGCAGCACACCGTCATCAAGTGTCAATCTTGAGATGGATTGATCCACGGCAGACACCAGAAGCAAGACCTCACACTGCACAACTTCTACACACCACGATATGTCAGCAAGCGACAATATGCATGTTTACATGGTCCTCGTTCTTGGAGGAGGTGTCAAGAGGGCGCTCCTGACAAGAGGCCATCTGAACGGGATGCTATTCCTGTTCCGTTTCGACCTGTACAGGTTGCTGGCCTGATGTGGCCACTGCATGCCGCGTGAACCTCCTTTGTTTTGGAATCGCGGTGCTCTCTTTCGATCTGAAGTCGCTTCGTGGCCATCTCATGCGAAGTGGTCATCAAAAGCGGAAACACGATTCTCAGATAGGGCCAACCCTGTGGAATTTGCAACTGGCCATCTGCGTACAGCCAATCTTGTTTTGATGCCGGCAGTCAGTTGGGTATCAACCAAGTTGCGGGACATCGCACAGATCAGGCTAGATAGGCTCCAAACAACTCAGACCGTTGGATAATGGATACGAGGCTTGGTCAAGATTTCCAGGCTATGTTCAATTTGGGAGACGCCGAAGACTCACTGACCAGGGCAACCGATTTGGGGTACCCGTCTTGGGTCGGTTTCAAAGGAAGCCAAAAGCAAACTGGCGGTTCCCCTATTTGGGAACAAGCTCTTTTTGACCGTGGCTCAAATGGCCTGGCTGAGGGGTCTCCCGACCCTTGGATGCTCGGCAAGCGGTAGAGGAGTTGAAATGACGGAAGCTCAGATTGAGATCGAGCAAGGAGCAAGATGCGTCACCTTTAAAATGCTAGACCGGGCGGTTGAAAACAGGAAGACGAAGCAATCAAACGCTCTACTTAGCAGGAGCAACCACAGCTGAGAGGGACAGAGGCTGAAGTGCCTCGAACCGATTGGTTAGCTTGGCTGTGGCTGCCGCTGGCATGGGCGCAGCAGGCCTGTTGCACTTTTGCAGTCTCCTTGTGGGTTTGTGGGCATGAATCAACCACCTTCGCTTCATGTCTTTCTCATTTCGTACTGCAGTCCGCCAAAAAGGGATTCTGCTGTCAATCACTGCCGACGTCGTCCTTACCTCGCATCGGCAGATACAGAGAACAAGAGGCTTGCAGGCCCATTGATCCCTCCACGGGAGGCGTTCTGGAAGCTGTGGCGCTGACACTGCGATGCCTGCTCACATTGGCCATGGTCTTAGTCAGCTAGGCAAAAAGCTGGTGGTGTGCTGGGATCGTATTGGTCACAAAGCTAAGGTCATCACATGCCTGGCTGCCGCTCTCGGCTGCGTGCGCTCCTGAGAGGTGCCATGGCCACTTGGTCAATGTCGCAAGCTGAGAGCTGGGAGGCTCAACCCGCCGACCCAGCCCTCCCTGAAGCAAAGTTGTGCTTCGGAGTTTTGAGCAGATCTCCAAAAATGAAGCCGGGGTTCCAAGTGGATGCGCGGAAGTTTTTCCTAGGCGGTCGTGGCAGAGATGAACTCTTTCCTCTACGGCCTGGAGGCTTCGGTTCGGGAGGTGAAAAGTTTCCACGTGGCTCTGCTTGAGCGCTACCGTTTTCGAAGATGCGATGGAACCTGGGGCCCGAAGTGAATTCTTGGGGCTGCTTGGTGCAAGCCAAGGTATCTGCTGAGAGTCTCTTTTTTGAATGCAAAGATTGCAGCCAAATCGAAATTCAGAGAAGCTGGGTCGCAGGGACTGGGGGAAGCAGGGAGGATGAATTGTTTTTGCTTGGGGATGACTTGCCATCAGCGTTTGCCCTCGTCCCAGCTCTTACCCAGTTTCCGTTTCTTTGCTTGCCCAAGTCAATTTGCCATCGGCTATTGTACAGGGGATGCTTCTGTAGTCACACCACTCACCACTTGGAGACCATGAGCCACAATCAAAACCCGGCTAAGTGAAGCTTAGTGGGAAACAGTTGCAGCCAAAAGCAGGGCCCTTTTATTCTTCACATGGCTTGAGCAGACCACTTCACCAGGTCATTGCTCGAGTTCCCATTTGGGGATGGCGCCAGGGTCACAAGTCCTTGAGCGAACTGGCCGCACAGGTTCCAGGCCCGGGAGATCGATCGGTTTGATTTCAATGTCCAAAGGTGTGTGTGTGTGTGTGTTGATTCCTAGTTTGTGGTTTGGGGGTGAAATATAAATTATAAAGTCCCACTGGGCAGGCTGAAAGACCAACAAGGGGTTTTGTTTTTGCTTGGGGTTGGTAGGGACGGTCATGAACCCTTTAGAGAATTCGGACAACCATGACAAGGTTTGCTATTGTTGTCATGAACATGACCCACATAGGGAGTTTTGATGAGTTTTGACCATGGCTCATGCGAATCTTGGGTTGGTCTCAATGCGGTTGCTTTTGGAACTGGTCCAGAGACGAAGCGGCATTAGTCCTAGAAAGGGTACCCTCAAAAAACACACTCACACACACACAAACACACCACCCATACACTGGCAAGAGTTGAAGCTGAGCCAACCTAGTGGCAGATAGGTGAGGATGAATTATGTGTTCAAAGTTCATGGTATGATCTAGTGACGCTGCCAAACCTCATCATTGGCTGGTTTCCTGCCCACCCACAAGCCTTGCCGAGATTGAAAAAAAGAGAAAGCCATGGGGGCCAGAAGCGTGGCCTCTAGGCGAAGCAGTCTCGATGGCCGCCTCCCTAGCGCGTTCGTTGCAACGGGAGGGCCTGAAGTCTCCGCACGCGTTGCCGACGGTGTCTCAAAATAGGGGTTCAAACATGGGATGCGACCTCCAGTCCAGAGAAGTCACAAACTTGGACCCCTTTTGGAATGCCTAAGGCTTCCTCGAAGACTTGGTGTGTCTTTGTTTTGAGGTACCCGCTTTTCGTTGGTCTTAAGGCGAAACCAGAAGGAAGCCAACCGTTTTGAGACAAACACAACTGTACGTCTATCAGCACATTTGTTTAGGGATGGCTTCGCTCATCGGAAGGCGTGGTGCTTGCAAGGTGAAGTGTGAGATGTGCTGTTCGGTTGTGCGCAGTAGGCCCGATTCCAACGCATATTTTCATCCCCAAACGCTTGCGATCTGCAGCCGGTTTCTCCTTTACCCTTCCAGCGGAAGCTGAGGAACAGCAGGTTTCGGACGAAAGCTTTGGGCCCCGACTCCCCAAACCCAGGCGATTCTGGTGCTGCCTGCCTGGTGCTGCTGGAGATGCGTCCAGGCACATAACTTGGTCAAAATGGCAACGAACATCAAAACCTGAATTTCATTTGAGGCCCGGGTCCCAAAGCTTCCGACCCGTTTTCCCATGGGGCAGGTTGCAGCACGGGCGTGGCCGAGTCGAAATCTGCGTTTTGGCACGGTCCGTTCCGTGGAAAAAAAACCCTACAACCTTTCAGAGATATAATCAAAACGGCATTTGTTGCTGGTTGCCTTAAACTCGTTTTGGGGGCTTAAGTTTTGCTTGGTAGGTTTCCTCTTTGGGGGTTATATTGAGACTTTGCCAGCACTTCTAGAGCCGGCAACTCCGGCAAACAATTTGGATAGCCGCACTAGAGCCAAGAACAGGAACTGGCCAACAGGCGAAGAAGGAAAAAAGGGAGAACGGGCAGAGAACGCTCAAAAGATGGGAGTACAGTTGACAGGTTATTCCATTTAATGCCAGCTGTAAATCTTGAACAGGTTTCAAAACGAAAGGAAATCATTTTTGCCGCCGTCGCCGCCTTGGAAGCGCTATCGTACAGCTGCCCGGCATTCATTGTAAGTTGAGTATACTGTGGCTGTCAGGCAACGAAGGTAAGGCGAACGCAGGACCATTTGGTGGCAAGCAGTAGCGCTTCTCAACTTCAGCTCTGCTTCTAGTGAAGGTGGGAAATTGCGATTGACCCTGCGCACCCCCGACACTGTACACAAAGCAGGTAAACACGCGACAGAATCATTCATTGAGAGGTTTGGCTCGAGCCAAAGGACGTTATTGCCATTCGGACATGTTTTCCCTTGACTCGGAGAGGCGTAGGTCCCACCATGCTCAAGTGGGACCAAACGAGCTCCTCTTAATGGATTGTGTCAACATATATCCATTCGTTCAAGCCATGCTTGCCCGGCGCCTGGGCAGCAAACAAGGCGGTGTGCCAACCATTCACCTTGTGTAGCCGCAGAACCAGGAGTAGACCTGCTGGCGCTCAGTGAGCATGTCAAGCCAGACTTTCCAGTCTGTTTGCCCCAAAGAGAAGTGCATTCAGGGGTTGATCACAGAAACATGCGACCTTCGGACCCAACCAGCCGCCTGGCTGCGCCCGGCAGTTCGTAGCAAGTTTCAGCCTGTGGTAGGGGGACGGCGGCCTGCGCAGGAGCTCACGCCTTTTGAGGTTGAAACCTTGCCTTGCAGCACCGGCCGTGCCACAACTTCCCAGCCCTCAAGCTTTCAAGGCTCTGCATTTTGGAGCCGATCGAAGTGGCAGTGCCCAAACTGTTATGCGAAGTTCCAGCTGCGTGAGTTTGAAGCTAAGCTTTGTGGAGGACCAAACAGCTATCAAGGCCCAGGCGCCAGTCCCAGCCTGTTATCCCAGTTGTTTGGTCCTTTTGCACGGCTGCTTAGAATGCAACATGTTCATGCTCGCACGAGGAATGTTTGATGACATCACGAGGAGCAGCATGTTGCCTCGTCTTGAGGAAAGCACGGGGACGCTGGACAACACCAGCTTGGCCGTGCCCAGAAATTCGTGGCAAGTTTCAGCTCCACTCTGCTGTTGTGCTACACGGAGAGTACTGCTGAATCGGCAGCGCTGACCCTGTCAAGGCCGTGCATGCGTTGCGATTCAACTCAATGATGCAGAGTTGGTCTGGCATTTGCTTCAGTGGCTGGCTTCACTTCAAGATAGTTTGCAAGAGGTTGCACACTCTATAAGCTTCGCAACGCCAGCCAGACCAGTGGCTTGAATTTGAAAGGCTACAGGCGCTGCTCGGATGGCAGTGTTTTGCAATGAGATGGCCATCAGCAGGTGGTGTTGTCCAGAGACTTGTGAAAGTGCAGCCGCGCAAGTTTGATGCTAATGTTTGTGCAGCCTGCCAACGAAGAACCCTGGCACGCGTCAGTCCCAGCTTGTTCTCTCAGTTGTTTGCTGGAACGGGATATGTTGGCAGTGTTCGATGACATCACAAGGAGCAGCATGGTTCCTTGGCTTGAGGAAAGCACGGAGACCCTGTACCCAACCAGCTTGGCCGTGCCCAGAACTCTCACAAGCTTCAGCTGCAGATAGCTGCTGTGGTAAGTGAGAAGTACTGCTGGCCTGACGTGCGCTCAAACTTTTTGAAGTTGAAGCCTTGCCTTGCACAGAGCTAAGCCTTTCAAGGTCGTAGCACTTGTGGAGATTCACTTCAACGATGCCGCTTTGGTCCAGCATTAGCTTCAGTGGCTGGCTTCACTTCAAGATAGTTTGCAAGAGGTTGCACTTTTTATAAGCTTCGTAATGCAAACCAGACCAGCAAACTAGTGTGAAAGGCTACAGGCGCTGCTCGGATGGCAGCGCTCTGCAATGAGATGGCCATCAGCAAGTGGCGTTGTCCAGAGACTTGTGAAAGTGCAGCTGCGTGAGTTTGATGCTAAGCGTTGTGGAGCCTGCCAGCAAAGCAGCCATCAAGGCTGACGTTCATCTCAGCGCTCGCGCACCACAGCATCTCAGCCTGTTCTTACAGAGCATTAGGCCGCGTGGAATGAAGTTTGTTTTAGCTGCCAGGAGTAGGGCCTTGGCTTGAGCAAAGCGCAGAGTCACTGGACCCAAGCAGCTCGGCTGTGCCCAGCACTTCGTGGCAAGTGTCAGCTTCTGACTGCTTGTCTGTTTGTCAAACATGGCCTGCGTGTGCGCTTACCCTTTTGAGGTTGAAGACTTGCCTTGCACCACCGGCAGCGCCGCATAGCTCGCAAGAGCTTGCGCTTTGGATAAGTTTCGTGAAGAGACCAGACCTGCGCTTGAATTGAGGGAACGCAGGCGCTGCTTGGACGGCAGTGCTTTGCAAGGACACAGCCATCAGCAAGTGGTGTTGACGCCAATCGACCTGGCTGTCCTCAGAACTGTGCGAAGTTTCAGCTGCGCACGTTTTCAGCCAAGCTTTGTGGAGCGTGCTTTCCAAGAAACTATCACTGAGTCTCATTTCAGCACTCACGCACCTCAGCATCCCTTCCTGTCCTTGCAGGGCATTCTGCCTTGATCTTGGCTGCAGGAGAGGTATCAGAGAAGCCAGATGTTGCCGTGACTGTAGGAAAGCGTTTGGCCTGCGCATGCGTTCACACCTTCCTGAGTTGCATGCTTTGTAGGACCGGCAGCGCTAAGGCTTTCAAGGTGGTAGCGTACGCTGGAATTCAATTCAACGATGCTGTTTTGGTCTAGCAAACCACAGCAAGATAGTTGCAAGAGGTTGCACTTTCTGTAAGCTTCGCAATGCAACCAACATCAGCGGCTTTAATTTGAATGGGCACAGGCGCTGCTCGGATTTCGGTGCAATAATTTTGACATCAGCAAGTGGTGTTGGAGCTTTGTGAAGTTTCAGCTGCCGGGAGCCTGCTTTCCAGCAAGCTATCAAGCCTGAGTCTTATCTCAGCACTCGCACACCTCAGCGTCCCAGCCTGTTCTTGCAGGGCAATCTGCCTCGATAGAAGTAGGCTGCGTGGAATGATGTTTTTCTTGGCCGCAGGAGTAGTCTTGGATGGGCCTCGGCTTCAGGAAAGCACGGGGACGCTGGACAAAACCAGCTAGCCGTGCCCAGAAATTTGTGGCAAGTTTCAGCTCCACTCTGCTGTTGTGCTACACGGAGAGCACTGCTGAATCGGCAGCGCTGACCCTGTCAAGGCCATGCATGCGTTGCGATTCAACTCAATGATGCAGAGTTGGTCTGCATTTGCTTCAGTGGCTGGCTTCACTTCACGATAGTTTGCAAGAGGTTGCACAGTCTGTAAGTTTCTTAATGCAAACCAGACCAGTGGCTTGAATTTGAAAGGCTACAGGCGCTGCTCGGATGGCAGCGCTCTGCAATGAGAGGGCCATCAGCAAGTGGCGTTGTCCAGAGACGTGTGACAGTGCAGTTCCGCCAGTTTGAAGCTAATCTTTGTGGAGCCTGCCAACCAAGAACCCTGGCACGCGTCAGTCCCAGCCTGTTGTCCCTGTTGTTTGCTAGAATGGGAAGGTTTGCTCGCATGAGCAGTGTGATGACATCGCAAGGCGCATTGCTTTCCTTGGCTTGAGGAAAGCAGGGAGACCCTGGACCCAACCAGCTTGGCCGTGCCCAAAACGTCGTGGCAAGTTTCAGCTTCACACTATTGACAGTATTGCTGGTTTGCGTGTGCTCACACCTTTTGAGGTTGAAGACTTGCCTTGCAGCACCGGCAGCGCCGCATAGCTCGCAAGAGCGTTTCGTGGAGAGACCAGACCTGCGCTTGAATTGAGGGAACGCAGGCGCTGCTTGGACGGCAGTGCTCTGCAGGGACACAGCCATCAGCAAGTGGTGTTGATGGCAAGCGACTTGGCTGTCCCCAGAACTGCGCAAAGTTTCAGCTGCGCACGTTTTCAGCCAAGCTTTGTGGAGCGTGCTTTCCAAGAAGCTAGTACTGAGACACCACTCACGCGCCTCAGCGTCCTTTCTTGTCCTTGCAGGGCATTCTGCTCTGATATCAGCTGCGTGGAATGACGCTTGTCTTGGCTGCAGGAGGCATCACATGGCATCACAAGGAGCAGCATGTTTCCTTGGCTTGAGGGAATCATGGGGACGCTGGACAAAAACCAGCTTGGCTGTGCCCAGAACTTCGCAACAGGCTTCAGCTTCAGACTGCTGTGGTATGCGCGTGCGCTCACACCTTGCGTTGCTTACGTTGCTCAAGGCATTTGATTACGTGAAATGGTGCAGGCATTGTGTCTCGGATTTCCAGAGCTCGTGTGCCTGTCCAGATCTTGGCAAGTCCCAGACTTGTGATGCTTCCCTGGGACCCGGTGAAATTGACCTTCTGCCCTGCCCATATCCCCTGAACTGCCAGCTGTTGTTGCCCGTCGTCCGAATCAGGACCGAAGAGTCCTTTCTGCTTTTGATGCGCTTCAAGAGCGGGGATTCTGGTACATTCGGCAGAGTCAGGGCAAACCACAAGGAGTCAGAGCATAAGTGGAGTCAGCGGAGAAGCCTTGCCAACGACCCAGCGCCAGCACCTTTTGCAGACACGCAATGCTTCTTGGAAGGCTTTGCGCCTTTCTGAGAAAGTGGTATTGCCTTCCCACACCTTGGGCTTCCGCGAAACGGACACGACCTTCGCTACGTGTCTCTGGAAACATCGCGTAGTTTAGGGCCCACCACTGCAGGCTGTTGCCCGCTCTTTCACGTACTCAGCCACTCCACCCCGTGGTTGGGAGTGGGTATTGCATGGCCACACTCGGCACATTGATCCCTTCTTCTCCATGGCCTGCGCGCCGCTGGCTTTCTTTGATCAAGTTTCATGCATGCCAGCCTTTCCTGGTCTTCCTCAAGGTTACAAGCACATGCCCGTGAGCCAAGCAGGAGCGCCGTAAAATTCCCAGCCCCGCGCCGGAGATGCCGCAAGCGGATGCGAAGGGCTTGCTTTGATGACACTTTCCTTGAATTCTGCTGCGCAATGAGTGTTGCACACTCACACACACACACACACACACACTTATTGGTAGCTTTTGGTTGAGATGACAAGGATCACACGTGCAGGTCGCCACTGCTTCCCCTCATCCGATATGGTTACGCATTTTGACGGGGACCAACCTCCAAACACAAATCCATGTAGATGATGTCGACCACACGGGTCAGTTCTACTTGAACTTCAAACCCATATGTGTCTGCTGCGACCTGCCCGAGTGAAGCTATGCGACTATTGCAAATTCCGGCAATATTGCAGATGGGGCCTAATCTGCCATGGTTTTGTGGGGAAGCAAGCCTAACAACCACACCTCGTGCAACCACTAAGTTTGCAGGATATTTTCCGTGTCCCTGGGCTGAGCACAAGACGCTCCCATGCTGCCCAAGATTGCTTCGGCCATGGACGGTACACTATGTTTCGGAAGGACAGGTTAAGTACCAGGCGGTCCCCATGAAATGGGAAACCACAGAACAAATTCACCACTTGATCGGGAATCGCTATGTTTTTCGTACAACCAGTTTGGCCAAGTGCAACCTGTTTGGATCGCCACGATTCAGCTAACAGTTCCATGGTCAGTTTGACGGTATGAAGAAGCTTCTCCACATTCCCCCAGCAGCCAAAAAAATCACCAAAATTTGGCCCACTTCACCAGTTGGTGCAAGGGAAACCAGAAGAAAGCCGCCCCCTTTTGGATCCATGAGAGACCCCCCCGATCGGAAAGTCCCGATCCGGTCCGCGAGGGCCGAGGGCCGGGCTGGGAGCCTCGGATCGATCGGATCGGGGAGGCGAAGCGGCGAAGCTGCGTGCGGATGGGTTGGAAAAGGAAGCCACGAACAGACACAGTGCCAAGTTTGGGGATGCTTCAGATGGATATTTGCCTGGCTTCTTTTTCAATAACTACATCAGAGGGCTTGCCAATTCGATCAGAGATCATGAACAGATGGACGCAACTTTGCGCAATCCCACATGGCAAAGCTCCCTGTGCAATCTGCGACTTGTGGGCGCTACTGCAACAATCGAAGACTGGGACTTGTGGCAAAGGATCTCGGATTGTCCGATCCAGCTCCGCCAGTCGGAGCAACCCTCTTTCTGGTGCTTCCAATTCGCAGTTGAGCCTGAGATTAAGGAGATTGTGTTTCATGGAATCTGCTTTTGGCAGCCCATTTTGAGCTCCTTCTGAGCATATCCTGGGGTTTGAGATTTGGTTCATGACGTTTGGTTTGGACATGCTGAATCCACAGCACAATAGTAATACCACATTTCCATGGGGGAGACACTGTCTGCCCCAACAGTCCTTTTTTCTGGCTATGTCTCTAATTCCCCTCCCGCCGTTGCCGTGGTGTGAACAAATGTTCCGCTCTGGCGATCTGGCCCTCGCTGGCAACACATCGTTTGGACACTTTCAGAGGAGCAGCCCAGGGGGAAATCACGTGTTTTTGTGGGCCCCGCACCACTTTGACACAGTTTCTCGATAGGGCGGACTCTTGTGAGCGACAACCACTCAAATTGTTGTTTGGTTCCCAATTTGAGAACCCCCCCCCCCCATATTCGCATGAGCCTTTGGGAACCCCTCGGAAGATCTTGGAACCCGGCCCACATCTTTCTCAGGCAGCTGGCAGCGCTCCTGCCGCGCGGCGCTGGTCAGCGCCCGGGAAGATGACTGGCGAGAGAGCAAGGGACGCCACCTATTTTGCGGATTCCCGAAATCAACGGCACCCCTGCTTTTTTTTGAGTCACCCCCATTTGGAGAGAACCGAAAATGGGGCCCGTGCGGCTGGGGCTTGATGAACGTGGTCTTGAGCTCGAAAGGTGGGAGGCCTGCTGCTGGGTGTCCGGTCCCCGGTGAGCCTAACCGCCCAGCATTTCGGCTAGGTGAATAAACCATTTGGAGCGTTTTCCACCGAATGAACTCCACTGAGCATGTTTCAAGCTGTTTGGGGGGTCCGCTCCCAAGCGCAAGCTTGAAAGGAGTAAGCCCAAGTTCCGAAGCTCAGAACCCATCCAACACGAAGCCAAGGATCGATGCCGCTCTCGATTTCGGGGTCCGAATCTTGTCGCGGCCTCAGGTGCTGGCAGGCCCACCTTTCGGGCCCTACATGGATCAGCGGAAGGACGTGCCTCGGCTTTGGGCGAAAAGCGTCTCAAGGTTACCCACTTCAAGCTTGGTTTGATAGGAAACCAACAGCAACACCAAGGATTATTTGGGTCCAAATCCCTATTTTGGCACGCATCCAAACAGGGGAACCCTAATTTGGACATGTTTGCTTTGGTTGCCCTGTGAAGAACCTCAAAGGGGCCCCAAATCCGCTCATTCTTGCTTTGGTTCTTCTTTAGATAACCTCAAGCAAAGGTACCTTATCAAAATCGACAGGCCCACTTTGGATGCTCGCCTCGGCTTGTTGCCCTGGTGGCGTGTCTTTACCGTATCCAACTTCACACATCTTTGTCTTTAGGGGAACCCGGTTTCCCTTACATCCCCCCAAGAGAAGCAAACAGAACAAGCAAAATGGTTTCAAACAAAAACGCTTGATTCCCTCAAACAACAAAGGGTTCCTCCCAAAACAGGATCATCGAATCGAAACAACCCCACACCAAGAGATTCCCCAACAACATGACAACAAAACCCAAATGGGGTTCTTCCCTCATTAAAGACCCACACCTCAGTCCCAGGTGGACCTCCGGGACGACGATGCCCAGCAGAGGCTCGATCTGAAGCGGCTTTTGGGGTTATGGTTTCCAGTTTGTTTGCCCGACGCAAATTCGACGGTTGGTTTCCTCTTGTTTCGCCCTTTTGGTTGCAAAGCGTGTGGACCCCCTTCCCAAAAAGATGTTTTGTTTGTTCCCCTATTTCAATCGCCCTATCGACAGCACAGATGATGACATAAGTGTTGGACAATGCCCCTTCTGGGGTTAGTTTGGGAAACCAAAAGGACACCAACCGGTTTGGGGGTGCCCTCTGTTGAGAACCCAAAGAGTCCCCACATTGGCAGCCAGAAGACCACCCCTGCAAGCTCTCAGTCAACTTTGCAGGTCCAAATCACAATTCTTGGATCTTAGTTCCTACCAACTCTTTGAGAGGGCAGGTTCCGGGAGATGCTTTTGGCGTTGTTTCTCCGCTCAGGGCATCCGAGTTGTGAGGGCGAAGAAGTGCGGCACAAAGCGGCCAAACGCGGCACGGCCCAAAGGGGCCCGAGTGTGACAAAGTTGCAGCTTGCATGTGGACAGGGATGGCAGGGCAGGAAGTACACGACAGCAGGCATCGTGGGTGCAACCCACTCTACGGGACTTGCAGCTTTTTGACACTGGCTGAGGCTCTAGCCTGTTGGGACAGTAGCATGGGAGCTATCGCCACATCAATGTGCAGCATGAAACCGATGGTGCAGGGACAAGCTGGCAGCATCTAGCGTTTGATCAAGCTACGCTCATAGGAAGCCAGACAGAAACATTCACAAGTTGCACCTTCTGTCTAAAGAATTTTACATGGGCCACTGTTATGGGCCATTATTTTTGTGGTTTGCTGGCGAGAGAGACGATAGTTCCAACGAACGCAAATCTGCAAGTTTGATTTCAGCAAAAGGGCAACCAAGGACCCAAACATCTGAGTTCCCAAAATAGGGGCCCATTCAGGAAACTGTCTGTGCCAGTGGGTTTCCTGAATGGGCCCCTATTTTTGGGACCGGGGTTTGGGGGCTTGGCACGAAGAGTCCCAATGGAGTTGGAACCTTTCAAGATTGCTGTCGTCAAAGATTGCTACTCCAGAGGCAGCAGCTGAGAAACGCACACATCCAGCCACCTGGTCCTTGTGCTACGTACCCAATACATAAGGGGTATATATAGTGTATGTATGTTTCAGCCATTAGCGGCCCATAACAAGGGCCCAAGTAACAAACTTTAGATTCTGCATTCGCTTTCCCTCTGCTTTTCTACGCTCAAAGGGGTTTGTCTCCAAAAAAGGGGAACCCTTAAAATGATTGGTTTCCCCTTGATTTCCCGAGATGACCCCAAAAGAGGTACCTTCAAAAGTCCAGCCTAGATCAGCTTTCTCAGTCAAACAAATTCAGCGCAAGCCCATGGCGCTATGGAGGCTTCGGAATGGCAGGCCGTGGCTTCTCAGTGCAAAGGTAGACGCAGATATTTACAGAAATTGATGCAACAACTTTTCCCGTTGGACATCTACCAAATCCGGGGATCTGCGTTTGTCTGGGGTGTTCGGTGACTGGAAGCTTTCGCGATTGGATTTTGCATTTTGCATATGCGGTTGTGTCAGGCCTCCTTGCAGTGACTCTTGGTGGCGTTCCTCTGGTGAAAAGCAGACACAGTCGTTCATTAAAACTTGGGGTTGTCAAAAACTTAGGGCCCCGCGCCTCCAAGAGAATCCAAAAAAGGCCCATCAATTTGTCAACCCTTGCCCCCGAAAGCAAAAAGGTGCCGCCGAAATGGGTTCTAAGCAAGAGGTTCCAAATGGATGCTACACACGTTGTCCTGTGCAAACCGGAGATCCTGTTTAGTCCACGGCCAGGTAGCAAAGTCCAAACGCAAGAACAAGCGCGGCGTTCGCGGAGAAGGCAAGCGTGGCAACAGTCAATACCGTGCTTGTCGGCTTGTCTCAGGACCCAAGAGTTGGAATGGTTTCTACTTGGACTTGTCTGAAAATAGGGAGAACCCTTAACTGGGTGGTGTCCTTGTTGCTTTTTGGTTCGCTTTGTTGTCAAGGGGGTGACAACACTCACAATTTCCTGATTTAGTTGGGGGCACAATGAACATTGACTCGTAGCTCATATGCGTGAGATCGTTGAAGTGCTTAGACGACCCTTTTGGTCGGCATCACTTACTTAGGATTTTCAACAATCTTGGAGGGTGTTGCCCCTTGATATCCAGAAGTGGGCGTGTTTTTTCCTCAAGGATGGCATTTGTTGGTCGTTTCTTTGCTGAAATCTCAAGAGAAACTCAAGAAGTTGAGACCCTGCAACTTCGCGACCAGTGTCCCTTGCAGATTGCAGAGGGATTCCTATTGTGACAAAAACACGGACGATTTCAGGCTTTCAATTGTCAAAGAGTCATTTCGTTATTTTCTATGTTGGTTTACATCCCTTGGAGATGTGATTTCCCATCTATTCAATCGTGTCTGTAAAAGGGGATGTGCTCTGGCTGCTGCTTGAAGTCAAAGTGGATGAGCTTTCCAATCAAGCCACGTCTTGATCGCCTTTCAGCCTGACGCAGTCCTGGAAAGGCCTTTGCAGCTCGTGATTTGTAGCTCATACGAGATGCCAATCCCTGCAAACGGCATGGGAGGAACCGACAGTTCCACAGGTTTTTGATGATTTCAAGGTAGAAATCGGGGCTTAGCGGCTGGGACTGGTGCAGCCAGGCCACGGCCATGCTGCATTCGTGCAAGAGGCGGTTTTCCCGGCGCGCGCGGCGAAGGTCTTGCAGCCTGAAGAATGGGCCGGTCCTTTTGTTGGACGTAGGTACCCTTTTCGTGTCCGGGCAACCAAAATGAAGACCAAAATCCGGGTCCCAAGGCGCGCTTTGCAGGTGGACTATGGATCCGCGGAGCAAGCGCCCGCGGATCCTGGTGCAGTGGCACGCGGGCACCCGAGGGACAGCGCTTGGGGCGCTTGGGGCTTTCGGTGTGGTTCCCCGAACTCAACCGACCCAAAACTCGTTTTTTTCTTTCGCACGGCTCTACCTGGTTTCATATGGTAGGGGGTTCTCGTTTCCTTTTGAAGCTAGCCAAAAGGGGATCCGAATCCCATTTTGAGAAGCACTCAGTGGTTGGGGCCACTGACTCAACAGAAGCAGACACCAGACACCCACTCATGGACAATGGATCTGGAATCGAGGGCGCCTGGCGTTGGGTGAATAGATCCGGGTTTTACCCCATTTGGCGTTAGTTCAAGGGAAGGTCCAGTCATGTTGCCATTGTTCTTGCTCTGCCACATGTCCAAGGTTGAACCTGGAGCGGAATCCCCTTTTGCCACAGGGCAACTCAGCTCACGTACGGCCTAAGCCTGCAAAGGCGGTCAAGCTTGTGATGGCTCAGTTGAAACGAGTTGTTCTACAAGGTTTGGTGTCTGCAAGGCAGCAATTGCAATTTAATCAACGCAGGAACAGATTCAGGGGTTGGCAAGTGGATGGTTTCAAGAGATGACCAGACATTGTGTGTACCAAGATGATCTAGGAAGTAGCACTTGTCTAACTTCAGCTTTGTGTACTTTGTCATCTAGTATTGACGGGCGAAGTGCGAATATTCCATGCCCCGACAGTGAGCACAATAAGGCACACACACACACACGGCAGGACCATTGCTTGAGGTTTGGCTCGATCCGATGCACAGCTATCATCCTTGCCATTTGGACATGCTGTCGGAGAGGTGTTTGGAAGGGTCTCCCAAAACAGGGGAAGGGTCTCCCAAAACGGGGAAGAGTCTCTTGAAGTGGGAGAAAAGACGGTCATTTATGACTAGTAGTTTAACCCATAAACCGTACAATAAAATTAAATTGTAAGACTTCTGTTTTGAACCTATCTTCAGGGTGATTTTTCAAGGAATATTGATTATAGGAAAAAGTATTTAAAGGATTGTAGGTATTATGTATTAAGGATTATGGGAGAAAATAACACTGATTTTTGTAATAAATGTAGAAAACAGAAAACGCTAGATGAATTTGAAGAAGGTAGATTATGTTGTAGAAAATGTAGTGAACATAATGTAATTCATAGCGCAATAAATAAAGATAGCTACAATGAGGAGCAAAGAAGAAGATGTAAATAAGATGAGGAATATAGAAAAACAATGTCGGACTACAATAATGAAAGGTCTTTACAAATTGTAAGGTGTGATGTTTGCAATTGTTCTATGACACAAACACATTTGCAATTACATAGTAAAACAAAGAAACATCAAATAAATTTAGAAATGAAACAGGGAGAATAGAAATAAAACTATTTTATCAAGTTATATTGTGCATAAAATGGTATACGGTTAGTAGATAATATGAAATTATCAACTTTACAAAATGTGTGTGTATGAAAGAACACATTTTTTTTATTTTTATTTTATTAGCCTTATATAATATTTGATGGATTATTTTGACAAATAATGTTTTTAGAAAAAAGGGGCTGGAGGAGTTCATTCATCTCCTGTTTCTTTTCTTTCTTGCTTTTTTTTTGGGGGGAGGGGGGGGGGTCGGCCAAAAAACGTTATGTTTTGCCGACTTCCCTCCCCCGGACCTGTCATAAGTTCGTATCTATTTGACCAAAAAAGACAAGAACAAATGCAACTAGCAAATACTTGTGCATTATAGATTCTTTGGGATCTACATCACATGTCTGAAATTAGTTTTTGTGAAACATTGTACATCAGGGGCCCAACTAGCGTCCCTGTCTGTTTCAAAAAGGGGTTCCCTTTTTGAACCCGACTCATTTGGCTGTGATTTGTAATAGGAGACTTGTTAAATCAGCAATATAGATTTATGTCCACCAGCCTCTTTTGAGGTGGTTCACTGAAGTTCACTAGAAGCAATGAGGCAAACCCATTTGTCAACTTCAGCCACTTTTTCAGGTTCCCAATCAAAATTCATGTCTTGTGTCGATGCGTCTCACCTTGGCTCGGACGTTTGGTCGGTCGGACTCCTAGGCACCTTGGCCCGCGTGAAGGAGCGTGCTGGGCCGGGAGGCTCGAGCCAAAAGGTACGCTGGGAAGCGGGGTTGGCTCCCACTTTGGTGTGCCTCAAAATTTGGGAACCTCAAAATAGCCGCCTCTTGGTTTCGCTTTACGACGTTCCGGCCCCGACTTGATAGCAAACCTTGGCTCAATGATAGGGAAGGCCTTCGATTTTCCATTGGCATCACAGAAGGTTGAACCTCCGACAGACCCTCTTCGTAGCAGGATTTGATTATGAATCAATTGGGAGAGCACTGTTGGTTGCTAACAATTCTGTCACCGGAAATAGCTCTGGAAACACAAGCAGCACCTGTTTGTGAGCGACAAGCGCATACACACCGCAGTACGAGTACAGAATGGGGTTGCTCCTCCAATTCCCCTGTCAGTTGCGAAAAACATGAGTACTGTGGCTCACCAATCCAGCTTAGGCTGAGCAGTCCCGGTTCTTGAAAGCTTCATTGTTGACTACAGAGGGGTCCTGCGCTATGTCAACAACATGTGTTTTGGGCGTTGCAATTGAGCAGTATGAATCGTGTGCA